CATCACCATCATCATCATCACTGGAATACTAAACTACTGGACTACCACTTCTTCTATGTATGTATACTCGCAGCAGCTATTTATAGCCAACTAATTGTGCTCAGATTAGTGGTACGAGCAGCAGAGCAGCGCGCCTGCTGCCAGAGCAGAGTGATCTGCTGCCAGTGCTAGGCGGGGTATTCGCTGACATAGATTCCATAAGTAGAGAGACATCATCAAATAGAAATTATTACAAAAATATTTAGAATGCCCCTGCAAAGTGGTTTACATGTGGAACAGGATTTGCTAATACATTTTTATTGGTAGGTTATTATATATACAATGGTTATGGCTTTATTTTTTCATTTCTCATGAAAATTCCCACAAATCGGATCTAATTTGTATGCAAATTTGCCATGGGGTTCTAACCTTTCCTAAACCATTCAGAATACTCTATTTACTCTACTTACTCGTCTTTATTCAGGACTCTCAGCCAAGAAAATAAATCAATCGATCGCCCCAACCTGCACCCTTTGGCTTAAGTTTTATTTATGTTTTTTTTTCCGAGCTGCAAAACTCTGTCAATCTTTGGCAAATATTTATGTTAATTATAGACATTCCCTGATGGAAAATAAAATCATTTCATGGCATTAAATGACGGGCTTTGAAGCGGAACCGAAAGCCAAAGGAAAGCGAATCGAATCGGAATTTTGTGTTGTGTACAAACATGCGACAAATGAAAGCCAACTTTGTGGAAAACAAATCGTGTGTGTGTTGGTCAGAGCGAACAGGACGTACATATATTGAGAGTCTATAATTATGGCCCAGTTCCTTCCGGCATGCCCACCCCCCCCCCTTCCTCTGTGGCTGTCTCTCCCCTTTAGATCCAAGGATGAGTGTCATGCGTCAAAGAAGAGCTTCTACGCTACCCATTGGGGGAGTATGCTTCATAATTCATGGTTCTCCAACCTGATATTATATGGAAATTGCGCGGGAACCGAACAAGCGGCGCGGCAAATAGCCCCCCACTCGATGGGTGGGATGTACGGGTGTGGAAGGCTATGTAATTTGAGTAAAGTTTTCGAAAATTGTTAAGTGCCCAATTGTGCGTGTGAATGTGTGTGTAATAGACCGTCACCCGAAGGACGCCCTGGGACACCTGTCCGCGTTCGCATTGTACTATGGAGGGGATGTGCTCATGTCCTGGGTATCAGATGCTTTGGCTTGTTAAATAATTTGTTCAACGAACCTTTTCCAATCACAGCAATTCCATTTTGTTGGGTGGGGGGGGCCTAAGTGGGTTGCCTTGACATCAAACTTTGTGGGGGGTTTTCCCCACGCTCTGCTCTTCTAATATTTCCCTCATCTATCCACTTTGATTGGCAAATTAATTCAGTTCTATAACTCAACACACAAAGCTGTCAAAATATTGAATTTTTTCCACGTCAAACCAAAGCGAAAGACGCCGAGGAGACATCAGAGTAGCGGCGGCAAAATTCGCATCATCTTCAGCGTATTTTCTGTTTGTGTTTTTGCAGAAGCTAAAGGTTGTCTCTCGAGCATAGCTCTGGGCATCGTCGAACCATTCCCATAAAGACAATAAATTTTCAATTTTATTTTCGCCGCCGTCACAGACGAAGAAGACGAAGACTGCAAGAAGAGCTTATGGCATTTTTATTACGAATGGGTGAAAACAAAATAAGCAGTAAAATTAATCGCCGACTTAGCCTGGCGATTAACTGAAATATCAAAGACGGCATCCATTTTGGCTGCTCATATACTCAAATTTTAAAAGTGATTCGATTCGAAAACTGGCATTAACTGGAGGAAGTTTGAATGCTTAGCCCGCGATGTGTAGCCCAGGCCCTAGATGGTAGTGAAACCTCAGGCCTTAGCGAATCGAATCTGAAGGGGTTTTTTTTTTGGCTATCTTTATGGCTTAAACCATTTGGCTAGATGGCGGAAAAACTTGGAATTTTATAGAGTTTTTTCGATGGTAGAAATGTGGGTTTAATGAATGAAGAAAAAAGAGTGGATTTGGAGGGAAATTGCTAGGGGAATACCTTCCATTACAGATGTCAGATATCAACTACAATTAGTTGCAAGGATCATGGATGGAATCCGCTTTCATTTGAGCTGCTGCTATCCACTGAATAGAAATCCTGTCAGATCAAACTCCATTCTATTGAAGGCCACTCCCCAGCCCCAACCCCTTTGCCATTACATGACCTGCGCCAGCTCCTTGCTCTGATCAGGATTAGATGGTGAAAACCATATGTGCCACGCTATAATCTTTTGTTGATTGAATAATGAATGAACGAACGTGGGGTGGGGGCGGAGGATAGGCAGCTCGATTTCTTCGTCTTCAGATTCGTCTTCAGACTCACTCGCACACCTTGATGGTGTAAATTGAGCTCTAATCAAGGCAAGCCGATCGCACGAATCCTTTTCAAGCCGTCTCATGTTTACCAAAAGGTGCCGAAAGCAAAACAACTAATGAAAGGATTAGGAGGGGAGACACAATCCACGGCGAAAGCACACACATGTTTGCCAGTGAGTCCTGAATGAGTCCTCTCCCCAAATTAGTTGTATTCCCTATCCTATCCGGGGAGAACCCTATCCAATTCTCGGATTGTGCATTGTGCAAGGCAAGCAACAAATTAATTGCATTTACTCGAGTAATTTGATATTTTCCCTGGCTGGCTACCGCTGCCGAGTAGCGGGTGTGTGTCAGTGTGTGTGGATACCCCTGAAATCCAAAACTTGGGAGCCACACAACATCCTTTTGGCCGTGCTGCCTGCGCCGCTGCTCCTTGATTAATCATTAATAATATTTAATAAACAAGCGGCGCGCTTATCGCACACCAAAGTATAATAATCTGCAGATGAGAGACCCTAAACTACTCCGCCTTCTCCTGCTCTAGGGAAGTGGCCCACACACACCGGCGCAGTTTGGGCCGTATCTTTGATCTGCAGATCAAATCGGAGACCAGAAGAGTGCCACTGCACTGCATCGTCGACCAATGACAAAACACAAGCCCAGGCAAAGGCACAGGCACGGCACAGGCACAGGCACAAGCAACCAACACGTTAAGCAGTCCCAAAGATGTAGATAAGTTCATCATCATCTTGATGCAGTCATCCTACCAGTGCCAGTGCCAGTGCCAGTACCAGCACCAGTCTCAGGTCCAGCAGCAGTCCCTCTCACGGTGTTGACGTCTTGTAGGCGGTGCCCGTTGCTGGATGCTGAATGCTGCCCGGCCAGTGCCTCGAGTGCCGCTTAAACGCCGCCACAACTTATCGACAGATTCGTATCGTGCACGTCTTTGTGTGTTCCACCATTATACGAGTCTCTGCCCCTCTGCCTGCCCTTCTGTGTGGGTTCTCTTCTGGTCACTCTGCAGTGCTTTCAGTTGGCTGCCGCAGGATCTGCGATAAATCACTTTGTACTGCTGTGCAGCCATCAAAATCAATAAAGACCGCAGCGACCGCCGCCTCGTATACTCGTATACTCGTACCTACAACAGGCCTGAAAGGTGTATAAATTGAAATGTTGATGGCTTCATCACTGGCCAACTGCGGCATTTGATCAGAGCATTCGTTCCGCTCATGTAGGTCGTCGTCTGCCATCGTTCAGATGGGTGCCGCTGCCGTGCCTCCTTGGGAAAGGACTAGTTTAGGTAAAAACCAGGTGCTTGATTTATGTCAAGCTGTTTGATGGCCATTAAATACGGATATGTTTGTGCTGAACATGAGGCTTGATTGTGTTTTATAAGGGTCTTAATTTTTGGGGTATAAAGCCATTTAATTTGATGCATATACGAAATACTTTTTTGATCAAATAGTTTAATTTTATAGAAATATACAAAAAACATAAAATTTAAACTTTTAAAATTCCCGCGCTGGCACTGTCCAATGATGGGTAGCACTTTGTTGCTTCCTCGATCTATCGATAAAGGGCAATCGATAGCAATCAATTCTTTTTCCAGGGCTGCCAAATCGGTTCAAATCGAAAATACCGAAATTCGGGGAAAATACCGCGTCTATCGTTTTCACATTTTTACACCGATAATTTCACTATTAATACCGAAAATACCAAGCAGTTTTCGATAGTATTGTGTTCGTATCGATAGCATAGCTAGGACTGCAAAAACTGCAAAACCGACGCTACGCGACGCTACGAGACACCGCTACCCGGCTACCGGCTACTAGGACTAGCCACTGACAGGACTTTCCAGGACTTCCAGGACTACGCACTACACTGCACAGGACAAGATGGAGCCAGTGCCACTGCTGCGACCAGAAATGCGTCATCCCAGGACCAGCAACAAGCTGTGGGCCCTTTGCGACCGGCAAAGCCTGGCCGGATGAAGAAACTAGCATATCCGAAGAAACCTGACCAGTACACAAACCGCTGGCCCGTTTGTCCCATGTTTTACCTCTTCAAATCGTGGCCCTTCCTCCTTGTGCGTCGGTCTTATCTCCCCCCCGGTTTTCCTCCGGGTGTTCTCCGGCCTCCGGTGCCCCGCCGGCCGCCCGGGTCCCCGTGGTTGCCTCCCGCCCCCCGTGGGTGTCCCCCCACGCCCCCCCCGCGGGCCGTCTGGGGGCACCAGCGTCCGAGAAGCAACAAAAACTTTAAGACAGTGAGCTTCGAAACATGAATTTGATTATGGAGCGCCATTTCGCCATTTCATCGGATCCCTTAAAACTCTATGCAGTGCACAGCAGGAGATTGGAGCACCTGGGCAGGGCCCTGATCCCAAAGGTGTACGAAATTATGATGTACGCGATAAACTTGCACCCACATGATGAGCTTCTGAAGGACCCAATTTATTATATAGCCCGTGTGGTTGGACTGATGCTTATACTAACCACCCCAAAAACATTTAGCAGTAACGCGTAACTCAACAAATTATGTTCAATTTTCGTTCGAATATTTTCCTCCGGTATATTTCCGGTATATTTGGGTATATTTTTGAAGTTCAGTATATTCTTTCTGCGGTCACACTGTATATGACGTGCAGATGGTTTTGAAGCGCAGCGGCAAGAAAAAAAAGATAAATAAATTAGAAGACATGTCAGCACGGGAACCATAAACGCCTGGTAGCATAACCACCTCTAAAGACTGTACATCAGCATCCAAAGCATACGGACAAATCAGGTGTTTCTGGATGTTTGCGTCAAAGTTAGTGAGAAGTTCATAGAATAAGTTAGATTTTGAAAGCCGTGTGCGTTACGACTTAAAGCAAAATTACAAGGTAAGCAAAAGCCTGGACATCGACACGCCCACACATGCACAAACATGTGCAAAAAGCCGGCTGCGATAATGAATTTTGCGCGCCATTAACAATTTTTGAATCGGCAAACAGTGGAGGGAGTCGCTGATAGCAGCTGATAACAGCAGATTTTATTGATTGTTTATTTTCGTCCCGCGACGAAGCAGCAGCAGCCATCCGTGCCACTGCCGAAGTTGCCAGCTGCTGCCTGCGTCGTCTACTGTTGATGATCTTGGGGCTGTGCCATGTCGAAAATAGCCAGCCATTGACACGCCGCCTCGCGCACACACAGCCACAGTGGTGAAGTAATAGCCACCGATCCGATCCCGATCCATACCCAAACCACAGCCACCTTGAACACACACATCACATCGCATCGCATCGCATCACATTATTCAGTTTGCTGGCAGCACCAGCACCGCCGCCAAGCAAACTTTGGAGCAGAAGCCACACACCAAAAACCAAAACCAAACTAATCGAATCCGTTCCGGTCCGTTCCGTTGCAGTTATCAAAATTCCCTTGAATCCGAGAAATGGCTCAGATAACCGAGAAGAGAACGACGAATGGTCGACCAGGAGGCGCAGGTGCCACCAAGGAGAATATGTCGAGCCATCAGCAGCAGCAGGCGACGCGCGGCAAGGGCATCGAGATACTCGACTTCCACGAGTCCTGGCTGGAGGAGGTGGAGATCTACAAGGACAAAATGGTCATGTGCAAGCAGCTGGCCCACCACAATCACCAGCCCAGTGCGTCACGCAGCGCCCCCGGACCCGGACATGGCAAACAGCCAGCAGTGCAGCGTAGCTCCGCTGGCGCCAGCTCCATCTCCGGCATCAATCGTACTATGTCCTCGGTCTCAGCCGCGGCTCGCTCCCCGCCACCGTCGCAGAAACAGCGAACCCCACCGCCAGCGGCACGGCGCCGTTCAGCCATAGAGAAGGGTTCGTCGGTGTCGACGGCGGCTTCCACAGCCTCATCTAAGACCACGCAGCGCATTTTGATCCGTGGCCCAGCCGCCGCGACCAAGGGCACACCAATGTCCGTGGCCACGGGCGTACTCCAGTCAGAGCCGTACAAAAAAGTGCAGGTGAGTGCGAGATTAGATTTGCCCCTTAGAGATTCCCCTGTGAAGTGCCTCTAACGCCAAACACCTGCCTATCCACCCGCATGCTCCCACGCTTCCCGTTGTTTGTGTTGGGTTCCGTTCCGTTCCGTTCCTTTCTTTGGTGTGTTCGTTCGATGTTCCGTGTTCTGTGCGATGCCCGCTCGCTTTGTACTAACCACATAGATGCTTTTGAAGCGTGCACGAGACGAAGCTTTTGCCAAACACGTTGCCGGCACCAACAGCAACGGCAACAGCAAGCAAGGCGGCGGCAACAGCAACAGCCACTCCTCTTCCGTCTCCGCCACTGGCGGCGGCTCAAAGCTATCGAGCCTTAGCCCAGCCAGAGTCGAGAAGGGGGTTGAACTGGGGGGCATCAGCCATGCCATCTCGAGCATATCCTGCACGAGCACGCAAACCCTGACGCCCGGCAGCAAGATTGTTGTTAATACGTTCCATGGCAGCAGCCTGCTTGCCCAGCAGCATGACGAGAAGAGCAGAATTCTAACACAAAATGGTCTAACCAAATCTGCAGCCACGGCCCTGGAGACCAGCCTGTACGCCTCCCTCTATGCCCACTCGCCGCTCAACTCTGGCAGCCAGTACAGCGCCAGCGCCACATCCCGCATGATGTCTGGTGGTGTCGAGCATGCGGCATATGGTGGCGTGTCCCTCAATAAGGGCAACCACGACAATATCCGACTACACGAGGATGATCCATGTGCAGGTAATACTCACGAATTTGATTCTACTTGGAGAATATCCCCCAACACCTCCCCCCTGGTTTATTTGCAGCCATTGACGACATCAACAACTACGATGACTCCGACTCGGAGGAGGAGTATGTGGGCACACCCTTCTTCCTGGACGAGGACGAAACAGAGACGCATCAGAGCCGTCACACGCGCCTGCTGCCCGAGAAGAGTGCGTCCAAGGAGTCGATGGCCACCATAGACTCGGAGGCTTCGGTGTACTTCAGACCCGATGCCATACTCTCGCCGAGTCTCTTTCCCAATGTGCCGCCGTACCTGAACTTCACCTCGCATGCGGACAAGGGACCCCCCATGCCGGCTGCCCTGCATCGTGTGCTCAAGTGGAAGCTCAGCCCCGTCATGCCAAAGATTGTGAAGCGTGTGGTGCTTAATTCCGGATTTCGCATTATCAAAAGTGGGTCTATCTATGGATGGTTCCTTGCACTCTTATATACGATTTCTTCTCAGATACCACCGACTGGATGGCTGTGTGGGAGAAGCACATGAAGAGTCCTGGCTTCCGCACCATACGCTCGCATCAGAAGTACAATCACATACCTGGCTCATTCCGCATTGGACGCAAGGACACCATGTGGCGCAGCATATATCAAAATTTGAAAAAGTTTGGCAAAAAGGATTTTGGTTTTATGCAAAAGTGAGCCGAATGCCACGACCGCCGCCTTGCTTGATCTTTAGATCTGTAATCTATCAAATCTTCTCCCTCAGATCCTATATAATGCCCGATGATCTGGAGAATCTGCGACAGGTCTGGCCAAAGAATGCCTCAAAGCTGACCAAATGGATTGTCAAGCCACCGGCCAGTGCTCGTGGCACTGGCATTCGCATTGTCAACAAATGGAGTCAATTCCCCAAAGATCGTCCCCTGGTAGTGCAGAAGTAAGACGCCACACCACACCCATGAAAACCTTTTTTAACGACCTCTCTCTCTCTCCTCCCTTAGATACATCGAGCGCCCGCTGCTGATCAATGACAACAAGTTCGATATGCGGCTGTATGTGGTGCTGACCTCCATCAATCCGCTGCGCATCTACATGTACAAGGATGGGCTGGCGCGTTTCGCCTCCGTCAAGTACAGCTCGGAGCTGAGCAACCTGGATGAGCGTTGCATGCACCTGACCAACTACAGCATCAACAAGTTCTCGCAGAACTATGCCAAGAACGAGGACTTTAATGCCTGCCAGGGACACAAGTGGACGCTGCAGTCACTCTGGTCCTGCTTGGAGAATCGTGGCGTCAACACCAAGCGCCTGTGGGCCACGCTGCGCAATCTGGTGATCAAGGGCATCGTCAGCGGAGAGTCGGGCCTGAATCGCATGTACCGACAGAACGTGAACTTTCGGTACAACTGCTTTGAGCTGTTTGGGTTCGATGTGCTGCTGGATGAGAATCTGGTGCCGTGGCTGCTGGAGATCAACATATCGCCGTCGCTGCACTCGGAACTGCCGCTGGATCTGCACGTGAAAGGGCCCCTGATACAGGCCGTGCTCAATACGGCTCTGTATCAGGTGCCGCCCAAGCTGAATGAACGCCAACAGCAGGAGATACTCGAGGAGCTGAACATGAAGGGGCCGCTCTGCCACGACAAGCGCATCTTCACCACCTGCCTGACCGCCGAGGAGGTGCGCAAGCACAATCAGTTCACCAATCGCAGCATCGAGTTCCGCGAGGAGTATGTGGACACCATTCTGGACAACCTACTGCCCGACGATGTGCGCTGCCTGATCATCGCCGAGGACGAGCAGTCCCGCTGCAGGCCCCTCGAACGCATCTTCCCCACCTCCGGCACGCACATCTATCTGCGCTACATCGAGAATGCGCGCTACTATAACCGCCTGCTGGACGCCTGGGAGACCAAGTACTCCAAGAATCGGGAACTAGGTGTTGCCTTGCTCTCGCGCTACTGCAAGGATAAGTACCACCTGCAGGTATCTGATGCTGCCATGGAGAAGGTGGGTTCTACCTTTGGGTTTCTTTGGATTTACCTGTTGCATAAATATATACCTTTGTTTTGTAGGAGCCAAATGTGGCTCTGACCGAGATCGATATGCTGCATGTGAAAAAGGATGATGTCCTGGATGGAGCCACGACTCTGGCCAGACTCAATCTCGTGCCCACTGAAGGCAGCGAGTCGGTGCCCATGGCCCGGAGCCCGGAGGCATGCATAGAAATTAAATCTTGAGACTGAACGAGCAAGAAAAAACGAAAAGTTTCGGTTTCTTAATGTTTTTTATCAAACATAAATACGCCTGCAATACGTTCAAATTCACGTTGAGATCCTTTCCAAATAAAGTTACATTTTTTTTCCGGTCGTCTTAAAAGTTTTTGCCACTTTACTAAGCATTTTAATCGGAATTTAAATGCTAGGTAATAATTATTTGTTTATATATGTTTGATTTAATCAAAATGTAATCACAATCGTTTATTGAATCCCCCACTGCACCGAATTGTGTGAATATACTGTTCGGTATATTTAGACGTCTGTGTATATTGGTATTTACGGTATATTTCGGCACAAGTTTCCGCGGCCAGTGACACATCCGCGCGCACGCTCTTCTTCTTCTCGAATTCATTCCTTTGACAGAAAACTGCTGGCGCCCCATAGCGCCTCGCTGCTGCCTCAATGGCCAGTCTGGAGCGATTCACTACAGTCTCCTGCGAGAGGGCCGCCTGCTGCTGCTGCTGCGATGCGAAGGTATCCCGCTTGGCAATGGCGCTGGTTTGCGACTTATCCGTATCCTGCCGATGTTGGTCTCTGCTGTCCCTGGAAGAGAAACCGCTGCTGCTGCTACTGCTCGCCGTCTCTGTGGGACTGTCGGACTTTTGGTGGGGACGTCCCAAAGCCGCTTGGAGCCTGTGGGGACCGTTGCTGTTCACCGAAGATTTGGAGTTTGGGATATCGGCGGCCTTGTCCTTTTTTCTCTCTCTTGTTTTCCTGTTGGTATAGGTATAGAACCTATCACACCACTTTTCCTCTTGCTCCAGCGGAAAAACCCTTCGCATGTTGGCTTCTAAATATCTGGCGTCTCCCAGCGTCATGTGAATGTTATTATGTACAAAGCGTTACGAGCTTCCTCTGTTGCGTCGCTTTGAGCTTTACGTTTTTGCGCTTCTTTTTTAGCAGCGCCTGGCCCGCATTTCCACTGTTTACGAGGATGCCGTACACGTTTATAACCGTAGTCACTGTGGAGGGGCATGATGCGGCGTCCTGTTGCGAAATGTGGTCGGACTCATCCGAATCTCCACTGCTCGACGTCACATCGAAGTCGTCGTCGCTACTTACATTCTTGATTACGGTGACTGGCACCGGAACGTAATCATGGTCATGGTCAACATGGTCGTTACCTGTGGCGGCGGCCTGGTCATCCAACCAAGACTTAACGTATCTCCTTTTACTCATTATTACAGCTGTTGGTGCGTCGCGTCCACACACACACACACACGTATATGCTCAAAATGGGATGCTCCGGCTGTTGCTCCACTTAACTACAGGTAAGTTATTTACTGGTACTATATCGTTACTAACTAAGTTAACGTTACGTAGTTACTGCACGGTGCCTAGTTAGTTTACGCGTTTAAGCGAGTTTAAGTAAAAGAGTTTAAGCCGATTTTGCGGGCGTCCGCAGACGCACACACACACACGTAACTATGCTCATATGTCGGGCTGTTGCTCCACTTAACTGCAGGTAAGGTAACTACTGTTACTAGATACTTACTAACTAAGTTAACGTTACGTTACGTAGTTTCAGCGTTTAAGCTAGTTTAAGCGCTTTGGCGCGCCGCGTCCACACTCACACAAACACACATATCATAACGGATCTTTCACTAGGGCTGGATCGTTGCCGAAACGATAGTATCGATATAAATTTATAAATTATATTTATATAAATTGGAATTGAGATGTATCTCAAGAGATCTGAAAAACACGATGGCTATAACTATAGAAGTCTTTCTATAACTATAGCTCCTGCTAAGGATTGGTAAGGACATAAACTGGACCTAGACGTACAACAATCGATAGTATTGTGTTCGTATCGATAGCATAGCTAGGGCTGCAAAAATTGCAAAACCGTCGCTACGAGACCCCGCTACCCGGCTACCGGCTACTAGGACTAGCCACTGACAGGACTTCCAGGACTACGCACTACACTGCACAGGACAAGATGGATACGAGCAAGGCTGGAGCCAGTGCCACTGCTGCGACCAGCAATGCGTCATCCCAGGACCAGCAACAAACTGTGGGCCCTTTGCGACCGACAAAGCCTGGCCGGATGAAGAAACTAGCATATCCGAAGAAACCTGACCAGTACACAAACCGCCGGCCCGTTTGTCCCATTTTTTACCTCTTCAAATCATTTAGTCTAGTGGAATTTAACGCCAACGATCTGAAGATCACGATCAGGTTACCTTAAAAGCCCCAGTCACATAGCAGATGTGAAAATCGGCAAGGTCAATTTGGTATCGTGCCTCACATATTTTCGAAATGAAAAGTTTGTATTAATATTAGACGAGTATAATCTTTCCCATATGGTATGTACCCATATATCCCTCAGTTTGGCTGATTTTAATTAATATATGTATTGATATTTGCAGACTTTTCTACCCGTACCGAAATGGAAGGTACTTGTAATAGCTGCATTCAACTTGCAGGGCACTATGTTCCATTATTTATACATTCGTGCGGTAAGTTGCCTTGCCTCTGGTCTGCTCTAGTAATACATCAATAGTCATATATTATTGGCCTGTTACACAGGAGTCCCGCGTAGGTTCGAGGAAAATCAACTCGGCTCTACACGTTGTAGTAAAACAAGTAATCAAAAAGGGATATTCAAACAACCTCGTGGCAATAGTGTCTGACCACTGCCTGCAAACTTGACTGGCATGTCCGAAGCCTCCGAAGCGTTCCCGATTCTATGGGACAAAGAGCATTTTAAGAAGGGACTCGCGAAACACAAGCTCACGGATGTTACGGACTATTTGTATGGAAAGTATATAGTAGACGACTGGAAGAGTAAGTTGGCCCTAAATTACAAATTAATTAATAAATGTTAAATTTTTCGCATTCGGCGTTATCGATTTCCGATGAATTGTCCCAGCACCGGTTGCAACCCTGTGCGCGCCCTGCTGCTCTATACAACTCTGCGTTCTTGCCATTTTTTTTTCTTCCCCCAAAGTGTAAAAGATATTGATTCATATTGAATCTGTGGCGAGAAAACAACAAAGTTAAGCACAACGATGTCAGGCAATGGGAGTGGGAATGCAAATGCCACAGAAACAGCAGCATCATCACCATCAAGAACAGGTAAAAGGGAAAGAATTTAATGCCCCCCATTTATATGTGTATACATTAGGTGGCGAAAATAATGCAGAACCCGCCGCCCCGGCCGCTGCTGCCGCTGCCGTCCCAGACGTTGCGGCAGTGAAAGAGTTGGACACGGGTGTCAGTTGCAAGGGCAATGAGGCGGCGATAAGCAAAGATTCGACACCGCCAACAACAATGGAGACGTCGCCGATTCTGACGATGCCGCAGCAAATAGAATCTGTAAACAAAACGGCGAAGGTGGAAAACAACGCAGAAGACGACACCACCCACGGAAATGCCAATGCGCCACTAGCAACAGCCACAAACACAGACGCAGTACAGCAACAAAAACAACAACAAGAGACGCCGCCACAGCAAGAGACAGAATTTTTGCCAGGCAATGGGAATGGGAATGCAAATGCCAGAGAAACAGCAATAGAAGCAGCAGCAGTACCATCAGCGGATGATTTGAACAGCAATAAAACAGGTAAAAGGGAAAGAATTTCATTGCCATTCGATGCCAACTAATGTCCCCCATTTATATGTGTTTATCTACTTTATCACATGAAGAAGAGCGCAATCACAAGAAGAAGAAAAAAGATAAGGAACGCGAACGGGATGAAGATAAGAGTCGTCGCAACAGCAGCAGCAACAACAGCATCAGCAATAGCAACAGCTCCAGCAGCGGCAGCAAGAATCGCGATCGTGATCGTAGGCGTGAAGGTGAAAGCAGCTTGAAATCCTCCTCTTCCTCATCCGCTAGCGATCACAAATCCAGCTCTTCACGCAGCAAGGACAAGAAATATCATAGAAGCGATCGGGACAGGGACAGAGACAGAGAGCGGGACCGCGACAGGGAGAAGGTAATACAATGTACTTCCATTTGCCAGCTGAGCAAACAGTTTTGCCTGCAAGTTTTTCCGAGAAGTTTGCACAGCTGTTTTAAATGTTTGAATCTGAAATTAATTTCCAACTATTTTCTGGCATGCTACTCGTCGTGTGTGTAGGTCCCATCATCATCGTCTAGTTCCTCGTCACATTCGCATCGACGCCGCAGCTCGGACAGCAGTCGCAGCAGCAGCAATACCAATACCAGTTCCAGCAAGCTCCAAAAGGATCAGGAGGTGCTTCAGCAGGCCGTGGTGGCCGTTCTCCAGCAGCAAATCAAAGTGGAGCCAATCAAAGTGGAAGAAGGAATCAAGCAAATCAAAGTGGAGCCAGACGTAGCAGCTTCTGTTGCTCCTCCCAAGGCAGAGCCAGTACTTAGTAACCTCATCAAAAACGAATTGGATATCAAAAAGGAGGTGGCCAGCAGTGTCAAGGTGAAGCCATTGATGAATGGCGATGCAACAGCGACCAAAACCCGTGACGAGGTCACCCGCCAGCTAAACTTTAGCGCCAGCAAGAACTGGAAGAGCTCCTCCTCTTCCGTACTTATGCCTTCGCCGGCGGCCAAGACTTCATCCTCGTCGACCAACAGCAGCAGCAATAATCATTCCTCGAGCCTAAACAGCAGCCGTAAATCGTCCTCCTACTCCTCCTCCTCCCGTCACTCATCCTCGTCTTCGCGCGACTGCTCCAAGTGCTACAGGCGCTCCAAAATACGTCGCACCAGCGTTGGCGTACAATGCGTGCCGCCGGCGCCAGTTGCTGGACCCTGGCAGACGGTTCAGAGTCTGCCACCGACGCCCAATCGCAAGGCACCCGCAGGGCTGGAAAATCTCAAATACGGCTGCTACTTCCAGGTGGAGCAGTACCCGAACGGTGGCGCCTCTATAGTTCATCTGTATCAGCACGAAATCGATGATCTCTCGCCACAGGAAATGGAGGAGCTGGTAGATGAGTTCTTTAGCGTTTGCTTTGCCGAGGATGAGCAGGGCTATGCGCATCATGTGATGGGCATTGTGCACGATTCGGCACGGTATATACCCGATCTGCTGGAGCATATGGCTGAGAACTATTCCACGCTGACGGTAAAGGCTGGCGTCCTGGGACGCAATTCGGACATTGAGACCTGCACGATGTCACAGTACAACGAACAGGTGAGTGAAAGATCTCTCCCTTCTTAAAGAGAAGATCCCTCTAATGACATTCTAACCCTTTTCAGGTGGTTCGTAACTACTGCCAGGGCACTTTCCGCTATGGACCGCTGCATCAGATCAGTCTGGTGGGCAAGGTGCATGAGGAGGTTGGCGGCTATTTTCCTGATCTTCTGGGACGCATCGAAATGAATCCCTTTCTGCGAAAGGTTAACTTAAGCGCTCTCTCTCTCTTTTGATGGGTTAAAACCATTTTAACTTGTGTTCCTTTTTCCGTTTTTAGACCATGCCCTGGGCTTGTAATTCCATACTGCAAACGGATCCGCGTCAATCGAACGATGGACCCATTCTATGGATACGCGCTGGCGAGCAGTTGGTGCCCACAGCGGAACTGAATAGCAAGACGCCGCTCAAGAGACAAAGGTGAGTGTGCGCACTCTTTGAGATAGATTTTTGCCCATCAATTTTTAATCTTGAATCCCCCTTTAGAACTCGCATAAATGAGCTGCGCAACTTGCAATATCTTCCACGTCTTTCGGAGGCGCGCGAGACCATGATTGAGGATCGCACCAAGGCGCATGCCGATCATGTGGGGCATGGACACGAGCGTATCACAACTGCAGCAGTCGGTAAGCTCTTCAGAGTCCTCTTGCCACATGGATTATATTTTACTACCCTTGCTTTTGTTCTTAGGCATTCTGAAAGCCGTTCACTGTGGACAATCGTATACACAGAATCGCATCACCAAGGATGTGGTTGCCTTTGCCGCTCAGGACTTCAATACCATGGTGGAGATGCTGCAGTTGGATCTGCACGAGCCGCCCATCTCGCAGTGCGTCCAGTGGATCGAGGATGCCAAGCTGAATCAGCTGCGACGCGAAGGCATTCGCTATGCCCGCATCCAGCTGTGCGACAATGATATCTACTTTCTGCCACGCAACATCATCCATCAGTTTCGCACGGTGACGGCCGTCACAAGCGTTGGTAAGTGTCAGGTTTCGATAATCTAGCAAAGGTACCCCCAAAACTAATCCCATTTCAATGCCATTCATCCCATTTAGCTTGGCACCTGCGCCTCCGTCAGTATTATCCCGGCCAGGAGGTGATCAACGAACAGAATAATCCTGTGCTGGCCGAGACACCGCATTACAAGGAGAAGCAAACCATTTTACCCAATCCCATTGGTCACGACGAGTGTGGCAAGAAGACTCCATCGAAGCGCGGCCACGATGGTGGCAAGATGGCCAAGAAGAAGCTCATCGATTTGGATGGCAAGGAGCGTCGCTCGAGTGAGAGCAGCATGGATGATGCGGGCAACGCCTCGCCACGGCAGAGCCACCAGGATAACGGCAGCAACAGCAGCAGTCCAAATATCAACAGCAGCGGCAGCGGCAGTGGCAGCAACACCCCGAAGAAGAAGCCCAGCAAAGATGACTCCAAGATAGACATGAGGAAAATGGTCTTGGAGCACAAGTACAAGCTCACAAAGGCAGCAGCCACAGTTGCCGAGAGTCCCGCAGAGAAGGAGAAGCAGCCCAAAAAGGACAAGGAAAAGTCGCGTGAGAAGGAGAAGGAAAAGGAAAAAGAAAAAGAGCGACGCTGTGAACACAACACAACCAAAAAGCAACACCAGTCGTCGTCATCGCCCACATCTTCGCCGACACCAGCTAAAATGCCTCGACTGACCAGCTCCAATTCAGCTCCAGCTTCAGTTTCAGCTCCTGCTGCTGCTGCTACTGCTGCGGCTGCTCCTGCTCCATCTCTGCCTTCGAATGTCATTGTGGCTGGACTGCCGCCGCCATTAGTGCCTCAGACACCCTTCAACCATCGCGAAGCCTACGTCAACAGCCTGAATCAAAAGGAACCCGAGATCAAAATCGAAGTGAAAATTGTTTCGGACGAGCCAACGACCAGTCGAAGTGATACGATCATCAGCGGCAGTAGCTCCTCCAGTGTGCCGCCGCCGCCGCCAGCACTGCTTCCAAGAGAGCCCACAGATCCCGTGGAGAATGTGGGCAATGAGTTGATTGTCGAGAGCACACCCCAATTGGTGGTCGATCACGAGGAGGAGGTAACGGAGGTGTGTGCCGAGGAAATTGTCGAGATGGATATGACCATACCTGAAGAATCTGCTCCAGCAGCTGCTGCTCCACCCGCTCCCACTCCCACTCCATTTGCGGCTATGCCAACGCTTGTAGTGGCTCCTATTATCAATCCTGCTTCGGCTCCTGCTCCTGCTGCTGCTATGCCGCCACTAAAATTTGCTCCAGCATCTAATCTTAATCTTAATCCTACGCCAACTCCCACACCACTTGCTGTTGCGCTGCCACCGCTACCCGCAGGTCCTGCACTCCCCACCCTGAGTCCAGCGCCCACTGGGCCCCCACTTCCCACCCTGAGTCCAGCGCCCACTGGTCCCCCACTTCCCACCCTGAGTCCAGCGCCCAATGCTCCGCAAATTGTTAAAGTCGTTATACCCTCTACAATGGCGCCTTTTGGCAGGATGTCTGTGGTTTTGCCCACGCTAACAGCAGCACCGCCATTGCCCCCAATGCCGCCCCTACGAGCAGCTGCACCACCGCCGCCTCCACCCAGCACGACCACCACAGGAACAGCTGCAGCAATCCCGATGAAGACCACCTACAAGACGTTTAGTTTGCCCTCACACAAAATCATCATTGCTGGGCCCGGCACAGGGCACAGTCGGGTGGCCACAAGCCACAAGGGGGTGGCCAAGACACCCGTGGATCTGCTGGGCTCCATAATGGCCAGCATGGACAAGCCGGCAGCGGGAGGCAGCTCATCGGTCAGCAATCCATCATCATCATCAACCCTACCCTCATCGACAACATCCTCATCGGCAACAACGAATAGCGCGCTCTCCTCCTACACAAACTCCAGCAGCAGCAGCAGCAGCCACAGCTATTGAGTGCGTGTCGGTGTGGGAGCAGAGCGGGCGAGCTGAGAAGAGGCTCCTACATGGACTTTCTTGATTGTACATTTACGATATCCGCCGCTAGATTCCGTCTAACGCAATCCGAGCGGAACGTGTATTTTTTTTAATGTTTGTTTTTTAATTTCGGGAAATTGCTTACACTAGAAAAGACACGCAGTGTAATTCGATTCCCCCCTCACACCCAACCACTGTATATAGGCAAAAGGCTTGAAACACACACACACACACACACATACGATACACCCTATATTTGATAATGAAAGAAACGTAAGAAACCAGTAGAATTAAGCTCAAAATGCGACACTTGAGATAGAGATGTAGTTTTCTAATTTATTTACACCACACACACGCATGCACTCTTTAGATACAACAATTGAACAGTTTTTAATGCCAGGACAGGATAGGACAGGACTGGACAGGAGGGTACCTACAAGTGTTATATTGTGTAGTTTGTGGCACCTTATATATACCTTTATATACCTTACATATATATGTATATCATGTGCACACACAGTAATCGTTAAAAGTGAGCAAAGCCAAGCCAAGCCAAGCCCGCCAAGTGCTTGGCAGAGAGATCCCAGTTTCATTTCCTTCTGAACTACTTTTTTGAAAAGTGTTTTGAACGTGCGTAGAACAATACACACATTGATAATTATGATATATACTATATACACCATATATAACTCTAGACCTTAAGCCAGCTTACACGTTGATGAAACAATAAAGATTCGGATCGTACAAAAACAAAAAAACCTTTGGGGATATTTTATGTTTTGCAGACACCTGGATACTAAGCCACACTGGGAAAAGGAAAGCCCATGTAGGGTGCAATGGCCAATCTAAATTAATTAAGTAGATAATCTTAAATTATGTAGAACCAATCCTTAAATATCCTTCTGAAGGGTCTATCTAATATTTGTCCATTTTGTTTGTATTTCGATTCAATGTGATTCCATTTTAAGTCTGCTTTCCGATTCCAATATACATAGAACCCTAAGTATAATTCTGGTAATTACCAGAATAAGATTCTTTAATTTTATTATTATTGTTTTTTTAATTTAAAATATGCATTGATCCATCTAATAATATCTAATGAAGAATACCAATCGTTGAACATTTGTAGATGCATTATTTTTTATTTTGAATTAGATCACTTTGAGTACGGGCTATAAATCCTCATTCTTTGAACTTGGTTCCCCGCACAACCAAACAACCAATCGGTGCTTTAAAGGTATAACAATTTTAATTTCTAGAAAATAATACAAATCGTACAAAAAGCGGATTCGATAAATCCATAAAATCCACGTTCTAAGGCCGAAAAGATATTGCCAAAGACAAAAGGCAAAATGACGGAATGTAGACAGAATCGCTCCATCGACGCCATGTCTTACGGGATGTCTTACAACTTGGAGCGCAGTTCCTCAATGCGGCCCTGGGCGGAGCGCTGCAGGTCCATCAGTTTCATGGCAAAGCCCATGTTGCCCTGGATCTTGATCTTGCCCTGGAAGAAGGCCTTCTGAGGCGGCAGTTTGCCCGTCAACAGCTCGAACACATCCTCATCGCTGATGACAAAGGTGACATCACATTTTTCTACAAACAAAAGCAGGGGGGGGGGGGCAAATTAATTTGCAACGTAAAAAGTGTGTTTGGTAATTAATTTGACTTACGTGTGCCATTGAAAAATATCTTGCCCTTGCCCTGCTTGGCATCGATGACCCAGAAGCCAGTCTGGCCTTGGGGTCCATTGTTCACCTTGAAGCCATAGACAGCGCGCACCTTTTCGATCAGATTATCCTTGTCCTCCTGCATGGCCTGCTCGAGCAGCTTCAGAAGCGGCGCCACCTTGAAGCCATCCTCGCTGGTGGCCGCCTTGGCAGCAGCCGTCAGATTGTGCACCACACTGTTTGCCGCTGGGAAGCCCAGGCGGTACAGAGCCACCACCACAGCGCCACCCAGACCGAGATTGTGTTGCAGAGCAAGCTGTACATTGGGCACCTGGCGCTTCTCGGCCAGACCACGCAGCTGCCAGCACAGCTCAGCGCACTGGGCCAGGCCAGTGGCTCCCAGAGGATGACCCTTCGAGATGAGGCCCCCGCTGGGATTTACCACGAACTTGCCACCGTATGTGTTGTCTCCGCGATCAATGAACTCGCCAGCCTTGCCCTCGCCGCACAGGCCCAGGGCCTCGTAGGTCACCAGCTCGTTGGCGGAGAAGCAATCGTGCAGCTCCACCACCTGCACATCCTGGGGCTTGTAGCCGCTCTTGGCAAAGAGACGTTGGCTGGCCAGGACAGTCATATCGTAGCCAGCTATCTTCATCAGACTCTTGCCCGCGAATGTGGATGCTGGATCACTGGCCATTTCCATGCCCACGATCTCCACAGCCTGCTTCTCCAGGCCATGGCGACGCACGAACTGCTCGGAGGCCAGGATAGCAGCACCAGAGCCATCAGAGGTGGGGCAGCACTGCAGCTTGGTCAGCACTCCCTCGACCACCTGCGGCGACTTCATAATCTGCTCCAGAGTGTATTCATCGCGGAACTGCGAGTAGCTGCGGGTACCAGAGATAAGATAATAAATATAAACACAAAAAATGAATGCAAATGCGGACACAAAGTAGTCCGTGGTACTCACGGATTATTGACGGAGTGCTTGTGGTTCTTCCAGGCGATCTTGCCAAAGTGTTCGGGCTTGGTGCCGTACTTCTTCATGTGCTCCTTGCCAGCATTGCCAAAGATCTGGGCAGCCATGGGTCCAGGTCCAATTTCGGTAAGTTCACCCATCTCGGTGATGTGACGCTCCATGGGATTGGCACGGTCAAAGTACTGTTGGTACATGATTGAGTTTATTAGAGGTAGAATTGCAAGTAGCAAGAGTGTCTCACCTTTGCTCCTAGGGAGCCACGCTCCATCTTCTCGAAGCCCAGGGCCAGCACACAGTCGGAGGTTCCAGACTCGATGATCTGCTTGGCCAGGTACAGGGCGCTGGATCCTGTCGAGCAGTTGTTGTTCACATTGTAGACGGGAATGCCGGTCATTCCCACCTCGTAGACAGCCCGCTGACCGCAGGTGGAGTCTCCATAGACGTAACCGGTCACAGCCTGCTGTACCTCTTCGTACTTAATGTTGGCGTCCTGCAGAGCCTTGGTGATGGCCTCCTTGGCAAAGTCCGGATAGCAGACATCAGCACGACGGCCGGGCTTCTCGAACTGCAGTCAGAGAGAAACATTCATAAGTAACAGGTTTTTATAATAAACGATAACGACTGCTAAAACCAGTCGGAAGAGCAAAAATAGTTTAATTCTAATCGAGCCACTTCAGTGGGGGGGTAATGCGATAATGATACACAAAGCCCCCGGCCAGAGAGCAGATTAGTGACCGAAGTGCACCCCAGATCAAAGTCCAGGAGCGATTAACATTATTATTGCACCATCTTCACTTGAACAAAGTTTTCGCAACTTCTCCTTGGACAGGGCCACTTTCTTTAATGTGTTTTATGCACACACCTTTGTCATGCCCACACCGACGACATACACACGGGTCTTGGTCATCTTGGTGATGCAGGTACAGGTGCTGATTGGAAATAAGCAAAACAGGTAAGACCGCTACTAGCGCTTTAAACCGAATGATTAAAATTTAAGTTGTTTTGTCTACAGCAGTGTGACCGTCTGACCCGCAGATATTAGTGTTGGGTCGTTATGAACGAACGAACAAAATAGAACTATACTATTCACTGAAATGAACGAACTGAATAAGTTCATCTTAATCGTTCTTTTTCGTTCGTTCTTTTTTGTCTGAGAAGGAGTACCTGAATACCTTTGATCTGGTGGGCACAGCGAAAAGATTTATATCCACGATTATACCATCATGCATTAAAACGTCTTTGCTTGATTGACATCAACATACCAAATTTAATCTCTTAAAACGATATCAAGTACCAAGTAAAAATTAAAATAAGTTTTCGAACTTAAACCGTCCACAAATTATAGTACTTTATTTACAAATACGCTTACAAATAGAAATCAGAGCTCAAAAGAGAACGAACTGAAAGAACGACTTAGTTCACTGAATAAAAGTGAATGAACAAACTTGCTCAGTAAATTGAACGATGTTTACCCAACATTAGCAGATATACCTTCTCATTTCCAAAATATACTGAAAAAAACATACTTAACCCACGTAGCCTCCTCTCTAATTTAATAGTTAAGCGGCGGCACTAACCATACAGTATATTTTTTTGTCAGCGATCAATTATAATTTTTGTTTCATATCAGTCAGCTTTTGTCAGCGGCAATTATATTGGTCGGTTCATATCGTCGCTTTGTCGCGGTTTAATTTATCGTTTCATTCGTCAGCTTGTCAGATAGCATTTACAATTTTTGTATCATATCAGTCAGCTTTTGTCAGCGAGCAATTGAAAATTTCGATTCATATCAGTCAGCTTTTGTCAGCGAGCATTTAAATTTGATTCGTTTCATATCAGTCAGCTTTTGTCAGCGAGCAAAATTTTTACCTTTCATATCAGTCAGCTTTTGTCAGCGAGCAATTGTAAATTTCGATTCATATCAGTCAGCTTTTGTCAGCGAGCAGAATTTTTCGTTTCATATCATTCAGCTTTTGTCAGCAAGCAATTAGAATTTTTCGTTTCATATCAGTCAGCTTTTGTCAGCGAGCAGAATTTTTCGTTTCATATCATTCAGCTTTTGTCAGCGAGCAGAATTTTTCGTTTTATATCATTCAGCTTTTGTCAGCAAGAAATTATAATTTGTCGTTTCATATCAGTGAGCTTTTGTCAGCGAGCAATTTGAAATTTTCGTTTCATATCAGTCAGCTTTCGTCAGATAGCATTTACAATTTTTTCGTATCAAATCAGTCAGCTTTTGTCAGCGAGCAATTAGAATTTTTCGTTTCATATCAGTCAGCTTTTGTCAGATAGCATTTAATAATTTTTCGTATCATATCAGTCAGCTTTTGTCAGCGAGCAATTAGAATTTTTCGTTTAATATCAGTCAGCTTTTGTCAGCGAGCAATTAGAAATTTTCGTTTCATATCAGTCAGCTTTTGTCAGCAAGCAATTATAATTTTCGTGTCATATCAGTCAGCTTTTGTCAGATAGCATTTACAATTTTTTTTCCTTTCATATCAGTCAGCTTTTGTCAGCGAGCAATTATAATTTTTCGTTTTATATCAGCCAGCTATTGTCAATGAGCAATAAAAACATATTTTTTGTTTTTTTTTTAATTTTTATTACATTTTTACATTTTTCCTAAGTTCTTACATTTTCTTTTAATTTTTCCTAAATTTTTACATTTTTCCTAAATCTTAAAATTTTTTGACCCCCTTTAAAGTAGACACTTACCATCTACAGTATATAAATTTATCGACAGAGTTGCAAGGTCAAAAGCCATAGGCATTTGCACAATATGTAATTTATAAAAGACACCTGTCTAAATTACGGATATGTACATATACAATGTAAATGTGCAATTTCAAATAACATTTTTTATTTTTATATATTGTATTTATTTCCCACCCCCACCCACTCTGCCCATTCCTCATTTATGTTGCGGCAGGTCAGCTCAGGTCAGCTGATCTCAGCCCTCAAAACAAAACGAAAAACCAATTTCGGTTCAAGCGGACAAAAATTCTAGAAACACAAGCACAGTATGTGAGAATACATGGCACACACACATTTACGCAAAAAAAGGAAACTTTTTAAATTAATTTAAATTTTTAATATTAAAAAATCGTTTATATAAAATAGTTATCTATTGTGAAATGCAGTTTTGTGGATAAAACACGAGTCATATCCATCATTCAGTCGCTATCACTGCTGAGGGTATCATCATCGGAGGAGCTCTCAGCGCGGGCAGCTCGCCGGCCGCGTCCACGGCGGCTGGTGTTCCGGCCAGAAGCAGAGGGAGGAGTTGGTTTGCGGCCGCCCTTCTTCGTTCGGTTGCCGGGTGCCACCCTGGTCCTGTTGGCCGAACGCGGTTCGTCGGTCTGGCTGCTGTCGGCTGCGTCGCCGGCGGGATCGTTGACCGCCAGGCACTCGTTGAGGCGCGTCTCGAATTCGGTGACGGCGGCCTTGAGCTCGGGCTTGGCCAGCTTGTTGGTGTTGCTGATGATCAGGCGGAAGGACTGGTAGACCTCGTCGTTCTGCACCTTGTCGCGGTAGTGCTGCATGTTGTCCAACAACTTGTTGAGCGAGCGCTCGTTGTAGCTCAGCAGGCTCAGGCAGTAGGCGATGTCGCGCCACTGTCGCTCGACGCGGGCCACGGGGAAGCGCAGGCAGAGCTTCTCCACCAGCGTCTCGATCTGACGGTCCTTCTGGATGAGTCCCAAAATGTAGGCCATGATGATGCGATACTTGGGCTCCTCGAGACGCAGATTGGTGTCGCCCAGCCGCGAGATGATGTCGGGCAGCACGTTGTACAGGATGTTCGACTTGTTGGCTATTTCCTTGAAGAACTCCTTGGTGATGTCCTGAATCTCCTCGTTGTCATCGACAATGCACAGGGCCATGTCCGAGATCTGCGCCTTCACGCGTATCATCTCGTTCAGAATGAGATGCGACAGCATCTTGATGGCCGTCAGCCGCAGCTCTGTGTTCGTCTCGTGCAGCTGCACGTAAAAGTAGCCCGTCCACGGCTCAATGATGTTCGGGAAGCGGAAGGTGAGATCCGACAGGCCCACCACCGTGTTGCACTTGATCTTCATGTTGGTCGTCAGATTGAGGATGTTCATCAGGAAGGACATGTTCGACTCACAGAACCGCGACGAGACGGACATCAGGCGGGCCAATGTGAGGGTCGCCGCCTGCTGCAGCTTCGGATTCCGGTACTCGCCCGGCTTCTTGCAGATATCAATGATGACGGGCGTCAGCCAGTGGAGCAGGCCGTTCGGATCGTACATCAGCATGTCCTCGCAGATGGCATGGATCTCCTCGGCAATGTTATCCTCTGCCGTGGCCCCCACCAGATCCTCGTCCGGCTCCTGCTGCGGCTCCGCGGCCGAGTTGGACAAACGCTTGCGCACCTCCGCGGCCGAGACATTCATGGTGCGGCGCAGCTGCTGCTGGGCGGCCTTCCTGCCCGCCTCCTTGGTGCGCGTATCCTTCTCCTGCTGGGCCGTGAGCTCCTCGCGGTACTTCATGTTGTTGTAGACATCCATGTCCAGGAATATCATCTCCTTGATGGTCATGTAGCCGATGCAGAACACAAAACGCGACACCAAAAACACGGGCATGCGACCCCCAGTGCTCTGGCTGCCCTGCGTCTGTGGTATCTGAGTCTGTGGAATGGCCAGTGACTGCGAATACGGAATGTGAGTGGGCGGCGAATCCAGTGCCAGTGCCAGTTCGTTTTCGTTTTCCTTGTCCGCATCCAAATCCGCATCTGCAGCATTATTCGAAATCACTGAAGCGGCGGCGACCAGCCAGTTCTTGTAGAAACGCTTGAGTAGCTCCTTCAGCAGCTCCTGGGCCAACACATCCGGGGACTGGCACATGCGGTAGATGTACTCAAACACGCTGGTGGCCATGCCATCAAAGTCCTTCAGCTTCTGGTGGAAGAAACAGTCGAAGAAGAAGCGCTTCACCTCCTGCACGAACGCGATATCGGTGCTGTGGCGCTTGTAGTACTTGGCATTGCTGTTGGCATCGATGCCATTCACCAGCAGACGCAGACAGCCGGTGAAGAGGCGCGGCTCGCGACGTGCACGCTCGCCCACGGCTATGTCCTCGATGATGGCCGTGTTGGCAGTGACAATGCTGTGCTTTGCCTTCGATGCCATGATCAGCAGCTGGAGGGCGAGTCGTGACTCGCTGCTTGTGGTGCCCTCCAGCTTCAAGGTGAAGCGCTCGAACAGCACCTGAATGACGAGCGCGTCTATCTCCCCAGCGTTCACCCACTCGGCCACCAGCGTCTCCAGCGACAAGTAGTGGCCATAATCAATAACAGCGAGAAATTTGGAGAGATTCTGCACGACCCTTATGGCATGGGCGCGTGCTTGGAGGTCTGTGGTGAAGAGCACCCGGCGATAGGCCTCGGAGACAGCATCGCGCTTCTCCTTGTCGGAAGACCACACCAGCATCAGCATCTTCTGCATGCCCACCTCTGTGCCGCAGATGCCGAACATGTAGCCGGTGGTGAAGAGGTCCACGGCCTCCAGCACATCCGTGTTTGTCTTGGACATGAGCAGATCCTGCAGCTTGGGATAGGCATCCGTCACTATGGTGGCGAAATCGATGCTATCCTTTAGGAACTGCACCGTCTTGATCTGTCGCAGCATTTCCTCGTTCTAAACAAGTGGAGAAAGGATTAGCAAATTGATTTGGAAGGTCTGGATTGAATGGAACCTACGCTTTGCTTGAGACCTGCGGCCAGCAGGTGGTAGGTCTTGAGCAGGGCCAGAACATAGACCACCTTCTCCTCGAACTTCAGCATGGCACTAAAACAAGAGCCAGGGATTGGTCAAAGGTAACAAAAACGAAAAGAAAATGCAGCTGCAGAGCCTTACATCATTTCGTGGTTCCCCGCCAGAAAGTCCACTTTGCGCACCAGAATAATGGCCTTCTTGTAGTCCTTTGCGCGCATCAGCGGCAGAATCTTCTCCAGCAGTTCTGTGTCGGTCTCCTCCTTGTCAAACTCCAAATTGGGAACTGCAATGCGGCAGGGAATAAATAACGAAAGGCAAGGGAAGAGGCGTTTGACTTACATTCGTTTAGATGCTCCTCGATTTGTGGCAACATCTCTTGCGCCTTGTCGCCCCATTCCTTATTGAGCTCCTCCTCCTCCTTGCGCTCCGCCTCCAGCTCTTCGTTGAGCTTCTCCATGATTTCCACCTCCTTCGTGTGCTTCTGCAGGAGCTCCTCCAGCGACAGTTTGCTCGAGAACGGATTGCTCTCGAGCGTGGACTTTACCAGCTGCATGGCCGCCTTGCGCACCAGCGAGCTCTTATCCTCCAGCCGCCCTACAGCCGCGGCCACCACCTTTGACAGATAGTTGAGCGGTATGGCATGCTGCGTCTTGAGATGCACCCAAATGTGCAGGGCCTTGGTGCGCACATGGGCTGAGACGTCCAGGATGTGGTCGTACAGGTGGTCAAGGAACTCGTTGCGCACCTCCTTCATGTCATCGCTGAGATCCTCGGCGGTCAGGTCACTGATCACGGCATCGGCTATGATCTGGAGAACGGTGTTCCGCAGCATGTGCGACTGGCAGTCGAGCAGCTCCTCCCCGAGCTTCGACAAGTGCGGAATGATCAGCCCCGAGGCGATGTTCGAGAACTCCGAGAGAAAGGCGGAGAAGTGCTTGGACACCGTCGTGTCGGCGCTGTCCAGCTTGAGAGCCACCACAATGCTCTTGATCAGAATGGAGAACACCGAGGAGATGCCGTACTCCTCGTGCAGTGTCAGGATGCCGTTGGCCACTGCCACGGCGGCGTGCTCAGTGCCGCGCAGAATCTGCAGAATGCGGGCCGGGAAGGTCATGGAATGGTTGAAGCGCTTAATGCAGGTGCCCAAAATCTGGAAGAGGGTATCAAAAATATGCTTATTGTCGTTGCGCATCGGAATGAGCTCCAAAGTGCGGTAGCAAATGTCACAGAGCATCCTGAAACGAACAGAAAGCAGATGAGAAAAACGGATCTTAATGGCTCACGTGTGAAATGCTTACGATATAAAGTCCTCTTCGACCACGGGCGGATTCCAGAGCCGTTCCAGCGGCAACTGCAGGATATTGAAGAGCTGAACGAGAAACTTGCCGCGCTTTATATCCCAGTCGGGGTACTGCTCCAGGGCCTCTGGCAGCTTGCCGCGCTTCTTCTGCACGTTCAGCTGCTGGTCGCACATCGCACGCTGCGTCACCATGTCGATCTTCTTGACCAGGTTCACCTGCAGGTAGAGCGTCATCTTGCTGAGATTCAGATGGGAGGAGCGCGTCTGGTTCGAGGGCGCCTCCTTGTCGTTGAGCGTCTCTTTGAGGCCCTGGCCCAGCTTTTCGACAGTCACGTACAGCAGGTCGAAGGCACGCATCAGGTTCCGAATGGAGGCGGCATCCAAGCCGCTCGACTCGATGATGGAGAAGTACGTGTCGAATGTCTCGAATATGTAGAAGGCATCCTGGCTCTGGTTCACCCTACGCTTGCACTCTGCAAAAAGTAAGGGTAGTGTTAAATAAAGGAATAGTATCAACTTTGGGACCACTGTACTTTGATTTGAACGCGTCGGACGCGCCAACTACCACTTACCGAGGAGTTTTTCGGGTATGTCTTTGTTGCTGTACACCTCCTTGACGTAGTACTGGTCGCCGCAGGAGTTGACCAGATCCGTGGGATTCAATGGCAAGATGAACTGAAAGTCGTGTTCCTCCTCCATTGCACATAAACACAGAAAAATTGTCCAACAAAAATTATTTGCCGCGAAACAAAAAAACAAGCGTCGCTATCAGTGTGGCTGCCCCTCAGAAAAATACCCTCTCAATTTTTAAATATACCGAAAAAAAAAACAAACTTAGCCCACGTAGCCCCCCGCTATATTTAAACAGATTAACCACCCGAGTTTAAACTTGTGTCCTGTAGTAATGTTTGTATAGAAATATATTTTTTATATATACATAATACTATAATACATATTAAAGTTATCTTAACGAAATTATGTATTGCAATGAAAATTTTTCGGTCGACGAATCATCGACGTTATTTGAGGCAATGGAGGATCTGGTTGGCCAGGATAAGAAGCGATTTGATGATGAGTAAAACTTTTCATGTTATGAGGTGGTGGCTGGTGAGCAGCGTCTTGTACCTAACTAATTCTATCATTCGAAGAAACATTTATGGATCTCAAAGCTTTTCTTTAAAGACAAGTTCTCCATTCTTAATTGGGTATTTTCTACGCGTAGGCATTCAGCTTCTGCTTGCAGTTCATTGTTCCTCTGTTGCAGATACAAAACTAATGATGATTCGGATTGCGAAGGCGTATCTGCTTCCATACTATCGGACAGCTGATCTTCAATGATATATCCATCATTTTCATTGCTTTCGGAATGTGTGGCTGGCTCCCCGCTTTCGGACATTTCGTCTTCCACGATATACTTCTCAAATTCTGCATCTGCGGCTTGTTCCAATAGTGCCAAGCTCTCAGCGGATAACGGACTTTCAGTGTTTGAGCTTTCGGACAAGGGTTCTGCATTCTTCACTCTACTGTCACCATCTATTTTTATTTCGGGTTTTTCGCGGGGTCGATATCGCTTTTGCCATCTGCTAAACACAGGTGTATGCAATGGTTCGTAACCTACAATACAAATAATTCCATTATTAGATGCTTCTTTAATTGAGTTTACAGCTTACCCAAGTTTTCAGTTGGAAGACTTCCTATCCGTAGCTTTCCATTCACAAAGCATTCATCTCGGAAGTGCTTCACGCACACCTTAGCTCGCGTCGGTGCTCCACTTATTCTAAGATTCTCGAACCATTGCTGGCGATTTCCTCTGTGGACAAAAAACGTTTGCTCATGGCTAGAGCAGCCTTTTACCAAGCACTTTACAATTGGTCTGAAATTCAAAAGCAATTGTTCAATGTTACATCTAGTCATACATCATATGAAACTTTCTCGCAGGCGAAGGGGTGCTTTATTTATAACAAATAAGAATGGAAGATGGACGGATTTGGCTGTGTAATTACATATATGTATACATACATGTGTATGTATTTACAGTTTCACGTACCTGACCCACTCCATTTCAAATAGAGTTTATTTAATTTAATTTAAAGCTCCTAAGTATTGCGGTTTATATTTTCACTTTTACCTATATATCATTGTTTATTTGTTATTACTATTAGTTATTTATTGAAAACACTGTTTGTGATTGTTCCATCCTGTACGTGTATGTGTGTGTACACAAAAAGAACAGGGTTGATTCGATGTCGATAGTTGGGATGCCGTATCATGGAAATATAATACAGAAATAATAAATTAAATTGTGTTTAATTAATACATTTAAATATTTATTTACTTGCACATTTGTTTTAATAAAATTATTGTTTATTGGGGATAAGTCCGTATTGCCATGGTGGATCTTCCGCCAAGGGTAAAACGCGATTTGGTAGCAACGACAAAACATTCTTTCCTTTATTCGTTCAAACTTTTATGGATTTTAAAGTTTCTTTTCAAAGAAAGGTTTTCTATTCTTAATTGAGAATTTTCTAAACGTAGGCATTCAACCTCGGCTTGCAGCTCATTATTTTGTTGCTTTAAATACGAATTTATTGATTTTAATGCTGATTCGGACTGTGAATGATCTTCAGTGTCATAGCTATCCATTTTGTAGTGCATGACCTCTTCCGCGCTGTCCGACTGTGGATCTTCAACGATATATTTATCAAATTCGGATATATCCTCTTGCTCCCAACCATCACCGGATAGCTGATCGTCAATCTGCGTTTCATCTTCCTGCAATTGCTCTGAGCTTTCCGATAGATCTGTTATTTTCTTTTTAGCTTTCTTTATACTTCTTCTCTGATGTCTGCTAAACTTGGATATATACAATGGCTCACGGCCTAAAATTACAAACAAAATATAATTAATATTCATTCAATACCGTTAATAATACAACTTACCTAAATTTTCAGTCGGAACACTTCCAATCCGCAGACGATTTAGCGATAAGCATTCCTCCAGGAAATGCTTCGCGCAAACCCTGGAGCGCCTACGTGCTACGGTTATCCCGAGATTAGCGTACCAATATTTGCTGTTTCCTAACGGGATCTGGTACGAGCGCTTGTGCCCAGAGCAGCCTTTCACCAAACATGGCCAAATTTCCCTAAGATGTAAGCAATCAATTGAAAGTTAAATTTAGAAATTATGCGAAACTTACTTGCTTACTGGCGAAGCTGCGGGCATTTTATTTGAATCCATTTTCGTTTTTATTTATAACAAAAAGAAGCCAAGATCCCATCAATTCGGTGGCCGGGGTTGTAGGTACTTTTGCCGAACGATGGCACACAGACGTACGGACGGACCGACTGGCTGTGTATTTGCATACATATGTTGCACGTGCTTATGCAGGCACCTTGCCACTCAAATGAATATTTTTTCGTAGTTAGTTTATCACTTTTTATTTAATAATATGTTTATAAATCTTCGCCTGTGTGTGTGTGCTCACAAAATGAACAGTGTTGATTCGGTGTCGATAGTTGGGCTGCCACATCATTAAAATAGAATACACTTATTTGTATTAACATATTAATTTGTATATTAATAACATTTTATCATACAAATACAAATTTTTTGTGTCGCCTTTTTTAGATGGTAAAAGGTGGGAAATAAAAAAAATTTCAAGGAAGTATATTTTGTACATATGTATGTTTGCACAAGGGTGGTGCCAGGGGGTAACGAAGGCTTTTAAAGATCCTTGCATCAATTTTCTTCATTATAGAGGTATACACCGATCAACAGCGACACATACTACTGTTTCATTTATTCCAACATACATTTATGGATTTCGAAGCTTCTTTTCAAAGCTGCGTTCTCCCTTCTTAGCTGAGTATTTTCTAAACGTAGGCATTCAGCCTCAGCTCGCAGCTCATTATTTCTGTGCTCCAAACACAAAATGAATGATGATTCGGATTGAGAATGAGGAGCTGCATCCACGCTTTTGGACACTTGATCGAAATTTTCGACTGGTTCATCCCACGGATCTTCAAATTTATATTTATTCAATTCGAATTGTTCCGCTTCATTATTCTTCATCCTTTTCATTTTTTCTATGTTTCGTTTTTGATGCTTGCTAAATTCTGGTTGATACAACGCCTCACGGCCTAAAATGAATTTAATTTTTAATTGTCATTGATTACATTTATGCCACAGCTCACCTATGTTTTCCGTGGGAAGACTTCCCAATCGAAGCTTTCCATATTTTAGAAAGCATTCCTCTCGAAAATGCTTTGCGCATATCCTATTGCGGCTATTTACCCAAAGTATGCCAAGGTTTGCCAACCAAAATTTTCGATTTCCCACGGGGACCTGGTATGTCCGCTCATGGCTTGGGCAGCTTTTAACCAAACACGGATGCATTTGTCTAAAATGAAAGAAAGTACCATCAGCTCGGAGGCCTCGGCTGCAGGTAGCCTTGCCGAATGCTGTAGCACAGACGGACGGACAGACTGACTGGCTGTGCTATTACATACATATGTACATATGTGGTTCAGATAAATGCACTATATAGTTTTCGACTTATAATTATTTAGTTAAGTATTACTTTTTCCCTATTTTACTATTCACATATTTTTGTTTCGATTGCCTATTTCGTACACTTGCCGTATGTGTGTGTGTGCGGGTTGCTTCTGCGACGATAGTTGGGCTGCCAGATCATAAAAATACCAAAATGTAATACATAAATATTTCAATATTCACCAATATATAAATTATTGTATTGGATTTATTAATATGTATTGCATGAAAAATTAAAAAAAACATTTAATTATACATTTATGCAACGACAGCATGTCTGCCAAAGCAAATTTCAAATTTGTAGCTCCATTAACGGTGCTGGCGTCAGCTGTTCGTTGTTATCAGGCGGGTATATAAAGAAGCAACCGGTTGAATCCACCGCAATTTATTCAGTTCAGCGGCTCCGCAAGCAGAAACACACACACAGGAAATATGACCAAGACAAGAGTTTACGTTATCGGCGTGGGCATGACCAAGGTACGGCCGCTGAAGTTTGACCTTTGTGCTGTCTTTTAATTTATCATTATTTTGTTGTATCCCTTCCTAGTTCGAGAAGCCCGGCCGTCGTGCTGATGTCTGCTATCCGGACTTTGCCAAGGAGGCCATCACCAAGGCTCTGCAGGACGCCAACATTAAGTACGAAGAGGTGCAGCAGGCTGTGACCGGTTACGTCTATGGAGACTCCACCTGCGGCCAGCGGGCTGTCTACGAGGTGGGAATGACCGGCATTCCCGTCTACAATGTGAACAACAACTGCTCGACAGGATCCAGCGCCCTGTACCTGGCCAAGCAGATCATCGAGTCTGGAACCTCCGACTGTGTGCTGGCCCTGGGCTTCGAGAAGATGGAGCGTGGCTCCCTGGCATCAAAGGTGGGACACAATCCCTATATGATTCTCCATATACTTATCTCCTGTATGCATGTACCAACAGTACTTTGACCGTGCCAATCCCATGGAGCGTCACATCACCGAGATGGGTGAACTTACCGAAATTGGACCTGGACCCATGGCCGCCCAGATCTTTGGCAATGCTGGCAAGGAGCACATGAAGAAGTACGGCACCAAGCCCGAACACTTTGGCAAGATCGCCTGGAAGAACCACAAGCACTCCGTCAATAATCCGTAAGTTCGGTCGAAAGTTCACTTGCCACACGCTTATCTTATCGCCGAGAACCACCGACCATCATCATCAGTCCACTCCATTGCCTGAATTCAGTCGGGAGACCGATCCGTACACGCGTTTGTTTTATCTCTCGGACTTTGTTGGTTCCAGCTACTCGCAGTTCCGCGATGAATACACTCTGGAGCAGATTATGAAGTCGCCGCAGGTGGTCGAGGGAGTGCTGACCAAGCTGCAGTGCTGCCCCACCTCTGATGGCTCTGGTGCTGCTATCCTGGCCTCCGAGCAGTTCGTGCGTCGCCATGGCCTGGAGAAGCAGGCTGTGGAGATCGTGGGCATGGAAATGGCCAGTGACCCAGCATCCACATTCGCGGACAAGAGTCTGATGAAGATCGCTGGCTACGATATGACTGCCCTGGCCAGCCAACGTTCTCTTGCCAAGAGCGGCTACAAGCCCCAGGATGTGCAGGTGGTGGAGCTGCACGATTGCTTCTCCGCCAACGAGCTGGTGACCTACGAGGCCCTGGGCCTGTGCGGCGAGGGCAAGGCTGGCGAGTTCATTGATCGCGGAGACAACACATACGGCGGCAAGTTTGTGGTGAATCCCAGCGGTGGCCTCATCTCGAAGGGTCATCCTCTGGGAGCCACTGGCCTGGCCCAGTGCGCTGAGCTGTGCTGGCAGCTGCGTGGTCTGGCAGAGAAGCGCCAGGTGAACGGTGCCAAGCTGGCGCTGCAGCACAATCTGGGTCTGGGTGGGGCTGTGGTGGTGGCTCTGTACCGCCTGGGATTCCCGGGAGCAGCCAATGCCAAGTTGTAAATGTTTAGAATCGGATTTTGTACATATTTACTATTAAACCTGAACTCTTTTAGACTCTTAATCCTACAATCTATTTCCAATCTCCAGTCAAGTCGTAGATTAGATTATTCACCGATTTCACTTGCGTTTCAGCTTGGTTGCTGCCTGACGCTTGCCACCTCTGCAAATCCGACGTAATCCCAAGCAGCCAATAAACAGCAGAAGTATGACAGATATTACCACCAAGTAGATATCCAGCGAGTAGTAGACAAAGCGGGACAGATGAACCGCGCTGGGCTGGTTGAGAGGAGCTCCTTTGGTCGCGGCCACATGCTCAACCCACCAGATGGCCGTTTCCAGAGGCTGCTGCACGCGATTGTTATACGCGGAGCCCACGGCCAGTGCCTTGGCCTTGAAGGAGGGATCCAGCGCTTTCGTGACCGTCTCGTAGACAGTCTGCTCGCTGAGCTTATGGAAGTCCAGACGCAGGGCCATGCCCCGCTGCACCAGAGATTCGATGTTCAGTGACTGATCGCCATACATGGGCATGCCCACAATGGGTACACCGCTGGACACCGCCTCCGAGGTGCCCATGAGGCCGCCGTGCGACAGGAACAGCTTGACATTGGGATGAGCGAATATGTCGCGCTGTGGCAGCCACTTCATGATGTGCAGATTGTCGGGCTTGTTGGGCAGCGTCTCGCTCTCCCACTTCCAGATGACCTGCTGCTCCAGACGGCCAATGGCGCGCACCATGGCATCCCTCTTCGCATCGGACAACGTACTGGCGCGCAGCTGAGAGCCCCAACTGATGAGGATTACGCCCTTGGTGGCCTTATCGAGCAGCTGCTGGAGATCAGCGGGCAAGGGCTTGGCCGGCTGCAGGTGCACTCCGCCCACTTCAATGATGTTCGGAGGCAGAGGCTTGGGTCCACTCAGCGAAAAGTGCTGGTTGAGGAGCATCAGGGAGGTGTTCCGCACCATCACTTGTGTGGAAGGCAGCCCCGGGCCGAATTTCTGGCGCACCAAGGCATCGGCAGCGGAATAACTGAACATTCGGTAGAGCATATTAATCGAATGCACTGTGATCCAGTTGCCCAGGCGACCGGCAAACGACATCTCCTGCGACTGTCCCATGAAGAGGGCCGATATATACGAAGGGATCAACGGCGCACCCATCCGTTCGTAGTGCCAGGGCATCAGAGCACAGCTGCTCATGCCAATCACCGGCGCCTGCAGCACATGCGCCACACTCATCAGGCAATCCGTGTTGAAGTGCTCCATTAGGATCACATCATAGTAGCCGGGAGGATGCTCCAGGATCGTTGCCAATGCTTCACTGTTCAGCGTGCTATTGCAGGCCTTCTTGCCGGCAACGTAGAGCATGTAGAACTCTGCGTAGTGGAACAGAAATGGTAATGGCCGCTCGAATTCCTTAGGAAATTTTACATAGGTTTAGTTTCATGGAATCTATCAGATATTTTGCCCTTGGACCTACCGTCATTGGAATGACATCCGACAAGTTGGATGAAGGCAGCAGATAGTCCGTATAGCCGGAGGGAGATTCCTTATCCGCAAAGGGACTCAACACATCCACGCTGTGGCCGGCCGCGACCAGTCCGCGCAAAATCGGATGAAAGAATTTGAAGTGGCTGATTGCTGGATGAACAAACATGCCCAAGATCTTCAGAGAGCTGGCCGTACCTGTTAGGGACATCACCGCCAGCAGCGATAGCCACTTGTAGGTCTGGTTTGCAATCATTTTAGCTGTGGTGGCGACAGATCAAAATTTTCATCATGATTAAGTATAATTTTGCGTTGTAAAGCTTAGTTATTAGTGTGTGTGTGTGTGTGCCTCAAAAGCACATCTAAAATTAACAATTAAAAATTTCTACATTTCTATTTACATATGAAATTATCAAAACAAAAATATACTCACCGGCTTTTGTTTTTAGCCCACTCGCAGACCGATCCGTTGCTGGCAAAAGTTGAGCATCAACTGAGGGAATGAGCCCGCAAAAAAATAATTAAATTGTCATGGCCCCATTCTCATAAAAGGGAAACTCTAGAGAAGAGAAATTTAATAGAAATTCAAAGAGTTAACTGCCTATAGCTGGTTCTCTTTGTTACTATTTGGTGGCTGAGAGGCAATGATCTCGATAGGTGGGGGTAATATTTAAGTAAAATATTTAATTCGAAATTTATATTTTCGTTTGTTTTTGCACAGATTAAATATTTAATGAATATTAATCTGACTTGGAATGGCAATTAAAAGGCCTCTCTACGACCATTTGGCAGTGCTATTAAAATTCGAATTCCAAAGGTGATAAGGGGCATAACCATTAAGGAAGAGCTAAACCAAAAGATCAACTCCTCTAGCTAGCTGAGGGTAGAGGGAAAGGTATAGCGTTCTATTTGAGTAAGCGCCTAAAGGGAATGCTAACCCTGCACACTGGGGAAGAGTATTCTGGAATTACCAGGTATAACAATCTTTTTGGGGCACATGTCTCATATAAATAATGAAGCCTAAAAGCATATTACAACAGCTAATGGCAAAGGCAGAAATTATTCAGAAATATGGGAAGATATATTTCCGATTTTATTAAACATTTAATTTGGTTTTAGTCCGATCTACGATTATGTTACAACTACAATTGTAATCCTTGATCAGGAAGCGTCTGTACACTAAAAATTCTCTTACACAAGAACATATAAAATATCACATACACAACAGACGATGACGGATGACAGATTTTCCTCCCACTATTCCCGCTTTGGCTTCGCCGCGGGCTTAGAGCCGCAGCAGCGTCGGACGAGCGCCAGCCAACTGCCGATGATAATGGCCAGAATAAGAGCCAGGACCGCATAGCAGTCGAGGGAGTAGTAGACGAATCGGGACATATGCACGGCGCTGGGCTGGAGCAGGGGAGCACCGTTGGTATGGGCCACATGCTCAACCCACCAGATGGCCGTCTGCAGAGCCTGCTGCGGGCGATGGTTGTACGAGTGGGAGACGGCCTTGGCGGCATCGTAGTATCTAAGAGGAATAAATACAGTTAGGAATAATGATACTCCAGAGACAGAGACACACTCACTTTTTGTCCAATGCCTTTTTCAGGGCGCGCAATACGCTGTTCTCCCCGATATCCTCGTAGTTCAGGACCGTGGCCATTCCCCGCTGAACCAAGGCGGCGCTGTTCAGAAACTGATCGCCATACATGGGTGTGGCCACCACGGGTACGCCGCAGTAGGTCGCCTCCGAGGTGCCCATGAGACCGCCGTGGGACATGAAGACCTTGACATTGGGGTGGCACAGGATATCGCGCTGTGGCAGCCACTTCATGATGTGCATATTGGCGGGCTTATTCGGCAGCGTCTCGTTCTCCCACTTCCAGATGATCAGCTGCTTGAGGCGTGCGGCTGCCCGTACGATACCATCCCGCTTGGCAGCGGACAGGGAATTGGCGCGTATCATGGAGCCCCAGCTGATGAGGATCACCCCGTGCTCAGCGTTGTCCAGCAGTCGCTGCAGATCCGCGGGCAATGGCTGCGACTTTTGTATGTGTATGCCGCCCAACTCGATCACGTTGGGTGGCAGTGGCTTGGGCCCACTCAGGGAGTAGTGCTGATTCACGAAGAATAACGAGGTATTCTTCGCCAGTTCACCCACGGAGGGCAGCTCGTGGCCGAACTTGTATTGCACCAGCTTATCGGCAGCGGGTACGGAGAGTAATCTGAAAGGAAGAGTTGGAAATACTTTTGCAGATAAAGATCTAGGCGGCTGTCCACCTACTTGTACATCCAGTTGAGGGCATGGAAACTGAACCAGTTGGCCAGGCGTCCCCCAAAGTTCATGTCCTGCGACTGGGCCATGAACAGGTTGGGTATGTGGGAGGGTATTATCGGTGCACCCATCCGCTCATAGTGCCAGGGCATCATGACGCAGCTGCTCAGTGCAATCACTGGCGCCTGCAGCTGATGGGCCACTCCCATCATGCAGTCCGTGTTGAACTGCTCCATGATGATCACATCGAAGTAGCCCTGCCTGCGCTTGAGTATCTGCTGCAGTGCGTCCGAGCGGAGAGTGAAGTTGCAGGACTGCCTGCCCCAATCGTAAAGCAGAAAGAACTCTTGGAAGTGACCGTAGAAGGTGCGTTTCTCAAAGATCTACAATGGAAAACCAAACACAAATGATTAATGAACTCGGATCCTCCTTCTTCTCTGTCTTACCTTTAGATCCACGCTATTTGTGAGCTTTTCAATGCCTGTTAGTGGGTAATCCTTGTAGCGCACAACCGGATGTTTGTCCGGAAAATGGGAGACCACACTGACATCATGACCCGCCTCGGCCAGACCCTTCATGATGGGATGAAAGAAGTGGAAGTGGCTGACACCGGGATGGGGAAACAGACCCAACACCTTCAGCGGGGGACCGGCATTGACCTCGACCCCCGCATTGGCCAGGGTCAGGCCGAGCAGCACTAAGGTGAGCAGCGACGAGCACATGTCTCTACAAGTAATTACAAAAAAAAAACAGAACAGTTTTAATTATCGACGCAGAGAAAAACACTTGTTGCCTTTTGGGGGATTGGTTGGGGTTCTGTTTTGTATTTTCGTCTGACCTTGGGGGGCTAAGCGTACTCAGCGCATGACACGAATACGAATGCAAAAATTTTTGTAAAGAAAATTATGTAAAGAATGCACGGGGAAAGCACAAAAAGAAAACACAACAAAAGCCCCATGGCACATTGCATCACAGTCTGTGGTCTGTCTGGGTGAGGCGTTAATTGAAATTGTTTTACTCGATTTACACGTTTTATTTATGGCAGCGGCAGGCGACTTTTTCCTCCAAAATGATTGATTTTACTGGAACTATTCGCTGGTATACACACATGGTGCCTGCCGCATGTCAGCTCCTGCTCTCTGCGGAGAGATCAATGCACACTTACTTGTTTGGATGCCGACGAGCGACTGACAGAACGGGAAGCAATGAGGGATGGGATGCCGATGAGGGATGGGATGGGGAAGAAGCCAAAACGAAAGCTCGGTCGGTCAATGCACGAAAAGCAAACGAAAAATGCGCTCTGTCAACGATCCGATCGAAACCGAACCGAATATTGTGCGTCGTTGTCTTTGGCGGAAGCTTTGCGCGCTCTCTCTCTGTCTCCGTACATGATGGAGAGCTTGATAACCGAATATCTCTGCACAACAGGAGAGCGTGAAATAAGGAGAGCTTGAATGAGAGAGAAAGGGAGAACGGGAGCAGGGCACCTTGAGCACGAGACTAACGACAAATAAAACGCTATATCATTCAAGATCGTCTGACGGTTGTTTATCAGTCATTGCTTGCACACATGTTCGCCGCCAGGCACTGCTCTCAATGATTACGTTTCAATATTTACAGTTAACTGAGATTGGATTGTTTGTCACAAGTATTTCTGTATTTCTGTGAGAGAATGCTTAATACCTGAAGGAAACATAAGTAGACATAAAGTAGAAGTGGGAAAGAAGATGTAATCCCATAAATTTATTTCGTGTATTACGAGTATAAAGCATTCTCAGTTTTTATAAATCTGGAGAGATAAGATTTATATACACACATATGTAAGTATGTATGCAAATGTATGATCGTTATTTTCGTAATCTGGGATACAAATTTTCTGGAAAATTTTGTTTTGTGTTTAGCAAATTCTAGGAAATGTTTATTCTATAATTAAATTTGCCTATTATACGAGTAGGCACCGTATCTGTTTTATATATGTATGTACACATTGTTTTATTCAAATATTTCGAAATAAGTTCAATGACATTTTCCCATTCTCATGGTCTTTTGTATGTGTCAAGCTTTAAAATTTGAAATCTATTTATTCTAAAATGTAAATTGCGGGACATTGAACCTGTTAAATATGCCATGCGGCAGCTTTGTGTTTTTGTTTTGCTTTTTGTGTACTCCAAAAGATCACATATGTATGTATGTATGGGTTATGGATATATAGTATACTAACAAATTAAAACATAATGAAAGTGTAAGTAGATGGAATGATTGATTACCTTTCGACTGAAAAGTGAAAGTGATTTATAACATTTGAAATTGAAATATAAGAATTGAAAATCGTGTGGTTTGGCATAGTGCAAAATTATTTTGGGTATAATACACTACACAAAAAGGGTTTTAAAGAGCAATAAAAATAAAGACCTTGCCAAATCTTGGCCAAATATGTTCAATGAGATTTTACTCGTTCTAAATATAAGCAGATGGAAATATCAATGAATATCAATGAATCAATAAAGGTTAATTGGATGCCACTAAAACTAAGAGAGAGTGTATTTCACTATCATTGATAAGACATACATACATACATATGTATGTGTGTAAATTTTGTTGTCATTAATTAATTTATTGAACCTTTGTTTTCCTGTTTTTCGAAGTTTTAAATATGTCGAGAGTTCGCCGTAAAAGTCTAGCCAGCTGACAGATGGCCCAGAGAGGTATTCCAATGACTGCCAAGCAGATCAGGTAAACATCAATGGAGTTGTAGACGAACCAATTGATATGCCGGGCTCTGTTTTCGAGCAATGGGGCGCCGCGTGTATCGATGACATGTTCGATCCACCAAATGGCCAGCTCCAAGGGGGACTGCGGACGTTCCCGGAAGGCCTTTGCCGAGCGTCGAACCTTATCGGCGAATCTGTAAATATTTATACGTTAGAGTTGGAGCGTTGGAGACTACTGTAGAAGCATGGAAATACGAGACCAAAGAATTTCTCTTACCCTTTCTCGAGTATGGTCTGGAGACCGCTGGTTATGTGACGCTCATCGAAATCGCCAAAGTCAACAATGACACCGAAGCCGCGCTGTGCCAGGGCACCGGCATTCAGGAACTGATCCCCATAGAAGGGCGTCACCAGCATCGGAACGCCACAGTGGACCGCCTCCGTGGTGCCCAGGAGTCCGGCGTGCGAGATGAATCCCTTGACCCGGGGATGGCACAGCAGGTCACGTTGCGGCAGCCAATCGAAGGTGAACAGATTGCTGGGCTTGTCCTCTGCCAATGGTTTTCCACTCTTCCAGCGCATCAAAAAGGTGTAATCCTTCATTTGGGCAATGCTCTTGAATAGAGCTCGCCGCTTCTCATCCGGCAGCGAGGTTGGATCGACCATGGAGCCCCAGCTGATGTATATGACACCGCTTACAGAGTCCTGCATGATCTTTTCGAGCAGCTGAAAGAAGTGAACAGTAGATGAGGGATTTTTGTGTGGACTCTCGACGATCGGATGGTTTACCCACCGCTGGCAGGGTTTTCTGGGGACCTATTTGCAATCCGCCCACTTCCACGACATTGGGTGCATACGGACGGGGCCCAGTCAGGGCGTAGTGCTGGTTAATCAGCATCAGGCTGGTGTTCTTCACAATCTCATTGACGGGCGGCAGTCCGAAGCCGAATCTCTGACTTATCAACGCATCTGTCTCCGGCTGGGTAATCCATCTGTTGTCCAGAGAGAAATAAGCGATTGCTGGGAGATGGGTTTGTGGGTCAGGGTGGAGTGGACTGGCGCTACTCACTCGTACAACGTGTTGACTGTGTGGAAATGTACGAAATTATTGACGCGATCGATCAGCCCCATCTGATCGGTGTAGGTCAGGAAGTTCATGGGCATAATGGGGTTGATGTAGGGCGTACCCATACGCCTGTAGTGCCACGGCATGATGGCACAGCTGCTGAGGGCAATCACAGGGGCATTCAGCAGATGCGCCACTGCCGTCATGCAGTCGTTCGAGAAGTGCTCCAGTATGATCAAATCGTAGCGCAGCGGCGAGCTGAGCAGATCGGCGATCAGGGGCGAGTTCAGGGCCGCACTGCAGAAGCGCATGCCCCAGTTGTGCAGCATGAAGTAGGTGGGAATCTTGTAGGGCAGACCCAAGGGCTGCCACTCCGATGATTCAAATGACTGAAAGGTGAAACATGTAGCCTCTTATTGATCCGCTCCGATACCCGCACCTACCGTCAGATCAATGATGTCCGTCAGCAGTGGCGCGCCCTTAAAGACATAATCCGTGTAGTTGGCCATCGGCTGAGCCAGCGGAAAGTAGCTGTACATGCTGATGTTATGGCCACGTCCCGCCAGCGCCACGAATATGGGGCGAAAGAACTCAAAGTGACTCTTGCCCGGATGTGCAAACAGGCCCAGTATTTCAGCGGCTTCGCTGGGTGCAGGCATTGGCAGCAGCAGCAGCACCACCACCACCAGAAATGCCATCGGGGTCCGGCGCCACCTGAAGCCACACAAAAGATCAAAGTTAACTGAGTGGAAACAAAAGCCTGAGATACTTTGTATCTGCAGCAGCAGCAGCCGCAGCAGCAGCCGCAGCAGCAGCGCTGCTTGACTGCACTTGCAGCTTAAACGCTTTTGTCTCTAAGTATATATGCTAAGATCGTGACCGGAATTTGGCTGGCAATTGTTTTTGGCTAGACCTTTTGGCCAGTGGATTTTCTCGACACAAGCGTTTACCACAAAATGTGGCGACCATTAAGAGGTGTCCACCCAAACGATATAATTATGGCTTTCAAAATGTTCTTGTGGCAGACCTTGTCTGCGAAGCTTGATGCCAATCTATCTTGTAATAGATCTTTATTGCGTATGGTAATTGTTTTATGGTAATAGATCTTTGATTTATAGGTTCAAGTTCCTTTAGAAATATTCCATAATAGGAAAAATAGGAAAGAACTCCTGCTCGGACGTTCTTTTGTGGAAACAGATCCCTTCAACGATATTCTTATAGCAAATTTTTATGCACAATAATTTATATCTATTTCAATATCTTTTCTTGTTTACGATCAGTTTGTGCCACACCCGATAGTTTATTTGGATAGTGCCTTCAACTTTGTAGAGTTTAATGGGCTTGCAAGGCAATTTCTTGATTGAAAACTTGATACAGCAATTACACACAGCACGCTTGTTGATTGAAATGTGACTTAGATTTATGTCCCTGATGATTTAACGACACTTCAGCTATCACTGGCAGGTACTAACTTGCCCGTTTTCCTTTTGCTATCCATGGATAATAGAAGTTCAACTTGTCAAAGCCACGATTCGCGATCAACTGAAAAACGTTGCAACTGCAACGGCTAGAGCCATGGCTCAGACGCGAATCAGAGGCTGCCCTGTTGCAGTTTCGCATTTCCAATGGCAACAGTGTCTTATATATATATATATACATATGTATGTATTTGCACCCAACCCGACACATCGTACCGCACCGTACTATATGCCATGCAATGCCAGTCATGAGCAATTTGCGGTGAGCTATTAGATTGCCCAATCCGAGTACTTGGATGCGGCCAAAGAGAGGGCTAACGGCTGATGAATATGCAAATTGTATAAACGAAAATATACTCGTAAGTACGATGATAGACTTAAATAAATGCAATACTCGTATCAAGTAATAGGAAGCTAGAACAATGGAAAATATTCATTAGGTGTTTATACAGAATTTAATGTTGATCAATAATGAATGATCGTTAATGAAATGGAATTCGTGGGGGTTCCATAGCCTAACTCAACATACCCTTACCTATCATTTGAGAATATTCTCTATTTCCTCACTGAGCTAGGCATCACTTTACTGCAGAATTCAATCAAATTATATTCCATATACCAAGCTTTTATCCTTACATAATCTTTCTAGCACTTTATTTTGTGGCAGGAACATAAAATAGAAGCTGCAAATATTAATCAAGGATATGATCAACATTCATGTCGTCGAAGAATTCTACATTAGAAATATACAAACAGCTGTTGATCACGTAATTCTACATACGTATAGTGTGTATTTTTCGTGGCATACTTTTAGACTTCTCCTCGTACACTAGCGTCGCTAATATTAGGACAGCTTACATATATTAAGCAAATGAAGTTTTTGTATTAAGATTAAAGATCAGAATAAATATTTCTGTGACTAGTGCATTAAAAATAAGTTTTACTTGTAGCACTAGAAAAAATAAAAAATAAATCAAAAATAAATACAAATACAAATAAATATTCGCGAATCTACCGAAAGAAGATAATTAGTTTGATAATATTAGAATTAAATAAACAATGAATCTTGGCCTATATATTTTTTGTATTTTTGCATACGATTCCTTTGCTGCATGCAACCTGATTTTCTCTATGCCATTTCATCCGGGTCTCATCTACATTTTCCAAACAGCAATCAGGAGCGCACTGCCTTTCGGCAGTCACATAAAGTACACTTAATGGACAGCCCTCCATGACTGCCGACTGTCGTCAAAGATTCGACATGCCCTGGGACCCCTCTCCTTCTCCGTCTCTCCATCGTCACTCCGTTTGAGTACTTTGAATTCTGCTAATTAAAATTCACTTCTGACAATAATCGTAATTTCTGAGATACTAATTTCAAAATGTTGCACCATATAAAATATCTTCCAAATGGTTTCCGTTTAGATGGCAAGAAGTCGTTAAAATTTAGGGAAAATAATAAGCAAAAATTTTCACGTCTCGCCTAATTAGCGCAGCAGTCACAACAGTGAAACAGAAACAGAAGCAGAAACAGGAAAGAACTTTTCCGACTTTTCCTTGACTGGACGCTGGACTGGGCTGTCAACAGCTGTCGTTGGTGGCAACAGGCAGGGGGGAGTGCTGATGAGGGGGTTGAAAGTCCATGTCCGCGCCGAGGAGCGTGTGTTTTAATATTTGCGTCACGTCATTAAAAGTGTGACTTAATTGTGAACAATTCACAAGTGAAAAGTGCTAAATTTACGACAGATTATCAAATCAAGTGTGAAGAAAGAATAGGCAAAGTTCCTGAAGACTGGCAGACGTTTTCCAGGCAGCATCAACAGATGTGTGGGGTGCCCTTCCCACTTTCAAGGTGTTGCCCTCCCATTGGGGAAATCGATAAGCATCGAGAGAGTTGGGGGGGAAGTTAGCTTTCCACTTTGAAAGCAGAAATATTGGGAAGAATTTAAGACCGAGGTTTTACCTACTCTTGCATGCCGATTGATGCTTTGAAAGCTTTGGGAAATTAATTTTAAAAACATTAATAAATAAATAAATAATGCTGATAGAATCTTAGGATATTGAGATTGAACATATGTATGTACATATATACTAATCGTACATCCAGTCTACTGTTTCACACTTTATAGGAATTTCTTTCTCCTTCGCGTGGAAACCCTTTAACAATAATCATATAACCCTCTGTAAGGGAAGGGCACACCCACTTTTTTCTTTTATAAAAAGGAAACAACATTTTCCGGTATCAATTTATTTTAACGTCTTGACATTTAAACTTTGGCTTTGGCGTTTTTCACACTTTTGGCCATTTATTTCGATGGCAATAAAATGGAATTTAAAATGATAGGAAATCTTATTGAAAATTCACAGATAAGCGCCCCCCCCCACCCCCCAAAAAAAAGGGTTACGTTACGTTATGCGGCGCGTGTCCGTTTCCAATTTGGGGGCGGGGCCATTGGCATTTTCCAGTCATTTACATTTAATAGAAGCGCATGAAAAAGATAAGCACAAGGGGGGAGAGACTGCGAGTGGGAGAGCGCATGCGAGTGTGTGAAATTTATAACAAATCAATAAAATGACAATAGGTGCAAACTTCATCGACACGGCACGGTGCCCCCCACTCGGTGGAGGAGGAGGGCAGGGCGGACGTCGCTCCATTGATACTCGTACTCGGATTGGGAATTGTCGGACCACGAGTAGACTAGAGGTGTGTGTGTGTGTGTGTCAGAGGGTGTTCCCGCTACCCCTCTGGTCGACACCAAATCAAAATGAAAGTTTTCGATAAACAATTTTTCGCACGGAAGTGCAATTTAAAGTGAATGCCTCGTATCCGTAGCCGTAGCCGTATCGTATCCCTTGCCAATTCCTTTTCGCCTGCTGGCAAATGCGGAAATTATACAAAGAAAGTTTCTAATACATTTGTTACCGCCGCCAGTCAATCGCTCTCTGTCTCGCTGGTCTTTTGGGCATCAAAAAGGATTTTCGGGATGGGTTTCCTTTGGGAAACCAGATAGTAGAGCGGCAGTGTGGAGGCTTTGGTGAGGAGTAAGGAGATGTGATTGAATGCAATGAATAATACAATTTTAGTAGCACTTTAAATCGTCAAATGCCAGATTGGAATAGAGCGAATGCATGTGACATAAATACGCCATCAATGGGCAAACTTTGCGCTCCTATAAGTTCTAAGATTATTCCTATGGATATTTTAATTTACCAGCATGGGAATGGGATATCAAACAGGTATGAATATGCTCCCCCCCCATTACACTTTCACGCACAAATTAAAGGCGTGAACAATGCGTGTGCGTGCTTGTCTATCTGCGAAAACTCTCTGGAACTCTCTGGAACTCTCACTTTTCCCCTCTGCCATAATGCACACATTTTCCACCGCCTCGTATCAGTCTTAGGTCTAGCACTTACAGGCAGGTGTCTTTAATTGACAGGGCAAACTATTTATTGCCACGTCACGTGATCTATAAACGTGCGACGCCAGCCTGGAAGACAGGAAGTGGTACGATACACCTCGCCAGCAGAGCACACACACCCCCCCATACCCACTCTCCGCTATGTCTTATGGCTGTGATTTAAGCCGACTTTGACTTTGCCTTCGACTGAGACATTTTCGAGCAGAGTAAAGTAAAGTAGAGTAAAGCTTAAGGTGTACGCCAGTCGCCAGGTGTCGCGCGTTCTCGTGTATTGTGAATATATCGATTAAAAAAGTTGGAGCACCTCTGGCTGTGTGTGTGTGTGCTGTGTGCTGTGTTGCTGTGGGGGTACAGTCATGGGTTGCTTTGGCTATTTCCGTGACAGTAATCAATTTATTTTTGGCAGTGCGCCGATTGCGTTTCCGCTTCAAGAACATGGAACGTCTGCTCCTGTTGCAACTTTTTGCCTGTCTCTCTGCCCCCGCCCCCACCCCCCCCTCTCTCTCTGTCTTGCTCGCTTTCCCATACCCTCACATTTTTGTCGCTCTTGTCTGCTTTGGAAACATTTCATTTCGTTTTGGCTTTTGGCACAGCGATTTCCGCCCAAAATGTCGATAAATCATCAAAACGAAATAGTCCAGAAAGCAGCAACAGCAGCAGAAGGAAGGAAGGAAGGGTGAGAAAGCGATTGGTATTGGCATTGGTATAGCTATAGGTAGATCCTTTCCTTTCAGGATGTTGGCGTGATAGATAAGTTGACAGCACAATTGAGGGGTTATCGCTGCGATTGGAGCTCCCTCTCGCTCTCTCTCTGATTGTGTCTCTTAATCAATCTTCTTGGGCTTCTTCTTTTTGGGCTCTGGCAATTAATTAATTTGCAAGAAAATAAAGTTGACGGCACGTGACCAGGACATGCTCTTATATACATACATACATATAAAGGATAATGGTATGAGCACTTTGTGTCCTTTAAAAATTTCAGTCCACTATCAGCAGAAGTCCTTCGATGTTGTACGACGCTACGCGGCTGGAAGTCGAGTTCCTTTTAGGGTCAAGTGCTGGAATTGATGTTTCGTTTATGATTTATCGTCACTTACTTGCCGCGTCATGGGCATAGCAGAAATGCCCGCCACTCGACCCCTAATGGTCGACATATTGCACAATGCAAAAACAAAAACTAAATTAGACATTAAGCAAGGGGAGGGTTTCCGTTCCAGAGTTGTCCTCGTCGTCGTCATGCTGTCATAATCATCACAAGACAGCATCCATCCATCGCCCGTTTTGCAACGCCCACATGTGGCACCACCACCACACCACCCCCCCTCAGCCACTGCCATCCCGTGTAGCCCTTCGTAGACCTCTGACTGCCTGGCTGCCTGGCATTTACTGATGTAATAACCATGTTTTCAGCTTGTAATGCGGCAAAGGGGAACAGGCAAACACTTTGCGGGGGTGAAAGTCAAGTTCCCAAGTTTTTGGATGAGCGAATGGCTGGAATGGGGGGGGGGGGGGGGGGGTTGCAGGGGTGTGGGTCATGGGTCGAGGGTGGTCCGAGGGTTGCCTTTTGCGCTACTTTTCAATTGTTTTTGATGTTAAATGTGTGATAATTTAATGACTGTCGACGCCCGACTACGGACGACCCACGGACCCACCCAAGCGACACTGGATATATCTTTGCCGTATCAAAACGGAGTGTCCTATGGCTCAATTCAGTTTTGAAATGCTCAGCGCTTAATTTACTGGAATAATAAAAATGTTTTTGGGGCATAAAAATCTCTGTGGCTGGCGATGATTTGTGCACTTTCGATGTAACAGATTGTCTTTTAATGCTTCCCAATTTCCGCAATTTCCCGGCCAAACAGTGGCTCTGTCTGTGTGTCTGTGTGTGTGTGTGTGACTGCCACATATTATCCGGTTCTGGGGGGGTGGCTGATGCTGACTGATTTGGTTTCGGGTTTTTCCGGTCTGTGGGAATTTTCAACTGCCTGACAACAGTTGAGTCATCCGAACTATTTCACAGATCCAACTAGTTCGCAGACTGAGATCAGCTGAGCTACCCCATCCACCCTCTACACTGCCTTTGAAACCAGTTCAGATCGGTGCTGACTCTTTTTTGTTGTGTTTTGCATACCCGTCCAGCGATTAGCATAAGCCTTTTGAGCGCCTCTTCTGCCACTATGAAAGTCGCAGGTGGAAGAAGTCTCGCTGGAATCATTTGCCAGGGGAATGCCAGGCCTGAAGGGGTTTAGTTATAGCACAGCTGGGATGCCATTTGGGTTGTTCCAGAACTCTCGATAGTTAGTGTAGAAGTTCTGTAAATTAAATAAAATAAAATAAATAAATAAAATAAATAAATAAATAAAATAAATAAATAATTGATTAGTTTGTCCAAATATAAACCTAATGTAATGAGATTTTGTGATATTTTTGACTATCAGATCGGATGTATCTTACAATGAATATGTTGGCTGTATTAAAATTAAGTTAAATTATTCAATAATTCTTAACAAATCGATGCATTTTGTAGTTTTCAACACTTGACCCAATGACCGACTTAATTTCACATTTATCTTATTCTAAAACTATTTCAAGTTCATGTTGAGACGAACTTTCACTACATGACCAATTTTCCTTATAGAACATTAAATTCTTATGCTGCGAGAACGCCCCGTCCAAAGTCTACCCAGCGTAAAGCCTACAAAAAAAAAAAAAAAAAAGGGAAACCCACACAAAAACTAATGAAGATTTATGCAAATGGCCGCGTGCAAATGTTAAAGCTTTTGATTTGTCGCTAATGTGAAAATATGGCGCATGAATGGAAAAAAACCGAATATCAAATGTGCGAAATATAATCGTCCAAAACACACACACACAACGCACGAATCCAACGTCTGAATATGAATCCGAATATGAATCCACACATATCCACATTTGCATTTGCCTGTGACAAAGTGAGGCAGACAGCCGCAAACAATGAAAAATGACGACGACGACGGCGGCTTAGGCGCGGGGTAATTTAATTTGGCAAAAATGGAAACGGAAAATCTGCAATAAATACGGAAGGATATTTGCCAGCAGCAGCAGGACACGTGACTGCAATTTATGAAACGGTACGCAATTAATTGCATATTTTTTGTGTACAATTTGTATAAATTTATTGCATTATTTATGACAAATGATAGCCAACAACAATCAATGTTGGTTTCATGTTGGCGTTAGTCTCTCCGCATCCATCAGCCATCAGCAAAAGTGCAGGGCATTGAACTGCTCCCGATCATTGCTGACCATATTGTTGTACTTGAAAGCCGCCGCCTGGGCATGGTGTCCGCTCGGGGAGCTATGGACAGTCAGCCTGCTGCCGTTATTGTTGTTGCGCAGGAAACTGTCCGCCGGACTGCTCGAAGTGGCATACTTTCCGCCCAGAGAGTCCACGTTTCGCATGGGGCTCAGGTGCTTGGCTGGAATGGCCTTGCTGGGGGTACGAGTCTGGTGAACCATCTTGGCTTTTTGTAGGTCTTTTCACAGATTCAAATTCGAGCTGAGATGAGCTGGCTTTGGTGGGGATTCAGGGCACACTGGATAGGCGAGTGAGCACGGAGAATTCCAGACAATTGCCGCAGTTGCTAGTGCGAGAGCCGCCTTTCTTGGAAGACAGATGCTTGGAGAGACTGAAAGGAATACAAAAATTAAAGAATTTCGTATTAGTTTAGGGAAGATCTTGGAATGGAATTGCCGCTGCGGCTCGGGGTCTCTCACCTAATATTATTAAGTAGCTTCGCTTTGGTGTCCGGTGTCTTCATTGACACATCTGTTGCTCTACGTTTGGGGAAATTTTGTATAAGATCTTTGAAAAGATTCAACTGCGAAAGCGCCACGAATTGGTGTGTTCGATGGCGACGTGTGTGCTCCGCTTTTATACTCCCCAACCCAACCAATGTGCCTGCTGCCTCAGTCTCTCGATCATCACGCGGACGGAGCGTGCTGCCGAAACTAGTTTCGACCGTCAGAGACATTCGCTGTGATGCAAAAATCTCTGGCCAGACATGCGCCAAATTTCTTGTTTACGCCGAAAGAGTTTTGCGTCAATGAAACGGGCTCTCGGGCTCTGGGGCTCACTTGCCACGCGGTCAGAGCCCATAGACGCACTCATTGATGGCCCAAAATCATAAACAAATCCAAAAGCCGACAAAGAATAACAAATAAAATATGGGGGGGGGACTACCATGCAGAGCTGGACTTTCCCCTAACGGACACTCCATGGCGAGAAGATCTCTCTCTCTCTCTTCCAAGAATCGGTGGCTATTCCACTGAAACGCTTCCATCATATGGGGTTCCTCTTGCAATCGGCTAAGCTTTATATAGACACTCGAAACAGGGATCTTACGGCATCTGTCTACAGCGATCGCTGAAACCTGTCTTCTTGCTTTCTTTCTGAATGTCTGGGGCCACGTTTTTAATTAGTTATCATCCATGTGTCTGGCAGTCAACGGAATTGTTTTTCGGCAGACATATGAATATTGGCTGTACGAGTGTGCGTAGGATTCCAATCAGGTGCAGGGTGCAGGCGGTTGACATTTAAAGCTGCGGCTGAGACGGTCAAAGTACAACCCATTTGAGATATATTGGAGATATTGTTAATTGTTGTTGTTGTTGGCTGTCTGGAATCCTAGCTGGTTCAACTTGTTTTAGCATTTTCAACTGGGCCTAGAGATGTTGAATAATATTTTTAGTGGGAATGCAAAAAGGGATCGGGGCTATAAAATTAAAGGACTATCAATATATTAATCGTATCAGATTTGTTTAAAGATTATCATGACTGAGTGCCACATTTTCATGTACCCCTCTACCATTTTCCAATGTCTTTGCCAGTCCTTTGCCTGGCTCTCATTTCCCTGGTATGTAGTTGCCAGCATAGCTCAGATCGGCTGTCTATATGGCGGAGTAGGTAAACAACAACACATTAAAATACTATAAGCTAGCCACTGGCTGTTGAGCTCTCGAATTGGCTGATGCAATGCAGGGGAGACTTTTCATCATCAGCCACTGTGGCTCATGCATAATGAACGATGATATAGTGAGCAGCCGATCTACATATTCATTATACATATATGCAGATATATGTCCGCTACACCACGCGTCATAGGGAGAAAGATCTGTTCTGTTAAGGACAGAACCTCAGAAGGGAGACCTTTTCGACCTGCTCAAATGTTGGCCAAGAAAGTTAATGGACTAGCCGGCCGGTCTCAATGGTAGTCGAGTAGAGCAAACAGTGGGGCAGATACTACGTGAGTAGTAGCAGGTATCTCCAGATCAGGTGTCTTTGGGTGATACCCATTAAAGTAGAAAACTGAGCGGTTCGAATGGAAGCTGCTTGGATGGATAGCTCTTGAGTATCGGGCAGTTTTCATTGGGCCAAGAGGTAGCTGTGTTGTCGCTTCTCGCCGTCTCCCCGTTCGGGTGAGTTGTTTGCGAATGTTTCGCAGATTAAACCAGTCTGGCTGATAACTCTCATTTGCATTGTGGTCGTCGGCACGAACGGGTTCGTGGCTGCCAGCCAGACTGAGGTCACCTCAGATGGGTGCTTTTTGGGGGAGGGAGAGTTGGGTTTGTCAGCCTGCAGCTGGCACGGGCCACTGCCACTGCCACTCAGAACTGTCTGTGACGCAGTTCCAGCAGAGACATTGCACTCGCATCGAGCGATCTCAGAGGTTGGAGCGTATTTAAACCAGTTGCAAAACGCGCTGGTGGCTCAGTAGAAAGTCCAGCAGCAAGACGAGTGGCAGCAGCAGCAGCAGCAGCAGCAGCGGACAAAATTTCTTTCCTTTCCTTTCGTTTCCCAATGTGGTGCAAGTTGCAAAAGTTTTGTGTCAATGCCAAAAATTACTAGAACGGATTCCAAACAAAAATTGTTCAAACAATCCAGGTAAAAAGCAGAACATTTAACCAACGAAAGTGATTAGCATTTTGGGGGCGATAATATTTCAATGAGTCTTGCCCGTTTCTCGTCAACAGATTAGGCAAGTCTCTGTCGTCCCGGAAAGGATCTCGAACGGGCAATTCGGCCAACAACAAGGAACTCAAAGTGCTCACCCTGCTGCAGTCTGTGCCGTGAATTAGACACCAAGCAACAAGCAACTCCAATCACTCAATCCCCTACGCACATTTGGCAGGAAAATCGAAAAATAGAAAAAAAAAACAAAAATGGTCTATACCGAACGTACCGACAAGTGCACCACCAGCACCAAGGATAGCCAGCACTCCAGCAAGGGACAGTCTCAGTCACAGTCGCAGTCGCAGTCTCACTCGCAATCACAGGGCAGCAGCAAGCCCAGCCACAGCTCGGGCGCCTGGAGCAGTCAGGCCTCGAGCTCGGACAAATGGAAGTACAACAATATGGTGGAGAACGATCGCGAGAAGTTCAATGGAATGCATTTCTCCTAGACAGGCAGAGACCTGGAAGCCTGTTACCCGACTTTGTTATGGCTTAGTTGTAATACACTTTTAATGGACTTAAGTATTGCTATGTGATACGTGGAAAAAAAACAAGAAAAAGATATTCAAAATTCCAATTGGATAACAAAATTACAAAAAATGAACGAAAGTTGCGCAACAAAAGGGACAAAAGTTTATTAAATTCAGAAAGAAGCCACCAAAAAATGTTGACAGAATTCATTCCCACACACAAACAAGTGGCCATCCACCCCACCCCATCCCATCCATCAATAACCCATGCCAGACCACATTTGACCTTGCCACTTGACTTATGCCATCGCATATATTAGTGTCCATAACATTTGCATGAATTGCGGCTATTAGCGTGATTGGGCCAACTTCTCACAGGGGAAGCAAGGAGCCACCACCATCGCCACCCACTACAGAGCCAGGAAGGGAGTGCACTTAATACGCATTAGCTACGCTTATTTGACAGCCTCAATATGCGCCCTCGCCCTCGTCCTCGTACTCGTCCTCATGCTGCCTGCCTGCCCGCCCGTCCGACCAACCGAAGAAGGACTTTTGCAATATTGATGATGTCTGGCCGCGTCGTCTCGTCTCGTCTCGCTCTGCAGACGCGTGTCCTGCGATGGGAACAAGTGTATCTCTGAGTGCAGGACCACAACGCAGAACGACGTCCGGTTTTCGTTACGCAGTGCGAAATTTTTATAATTTTTCAATTGTATTGTTTGGCAGCGGGGCCAAAAGGAAGTTCCCATTTATTTTTATTTTTATATTTTTTTTGGGTTGCGATGCTGCTGCGGTTGTTCTTCGCCTTGACACACGACTGAGCAACGACACGTGGCGGCGGTGGCTGGCTGGCTGGCTGCCTCGCTGGCTGGCTATTAGGAAAAACGATTTCCTTGACGGTGCTAATAGAATTCTTTCATTCTTGTCAAATCTCTTGCATCCCTTGGCCCAGCCCTCCAACCATGCTGTCCTTTTGCTGTGAATGTTGTGGCGTTTCGGGGATCCTGGAGCTGTCAATGTGCGACACTTGATGTCGTGTGCTGCGCTCCATCTAATTTAAGTCCTTTGGCCACTGCCTGCGACTGCCTGTGTCTGCCTGCCGGGTGGTGGCTGGGTGTTGGATGTTTTGGCCTTGTAATTACTTTGTTTCCTAGCGCCAGGCGGTCCTTGTGCCGTCGAAAGATTCCTTGTCACTTTTGGTGTGCGATGCAATTAAAACCGCACGGCAGGTGTCCTTTGAACTCTGCTATAAAATGTCTCACACTTGGACTGGATGTGTCACTTGCAAGGATTCCCGAAACGGGACGGCACAACGCTTTCTGATCTATCCCGGGCGACAGAAGCAATTATCACGTCATTATCACAGCAAACCCACAAAAATGTTCGCTTTCTCCTTTTTGTTTTTCTGCTTTTGTGTGTGTGTTTGTTTTCCGCTTTTCCTCTTTCCTTGACAGCACGTGCCCCTTGTCCTTCCCGCAGCTTATGATGATACGATGGTCAAGGCAGGGGCAGGACCTAAAACTCTATCAGCCCGAAAAACTGATTTCCGCTGAAAGACAACCCTCATCCAGCCATCCAGCCAACCTCTCCTCTCCTCTCCTCTCCTGCCTCTCATTCAGCGCTGCGGCATCTGATGTGGCATATGTCACAGTGGCACGTTGGAAAATTATGAATAATATCCGTAACTTCAGGCGAGACACACACACCGACACACCGACACATTGCTGAGATGTTGAGATATTCCAAGGCAGCTTGCAGTGAAAAATTGAGGCGGCACTCCACTCCACTCCGCTCCGCACCGCACCGAACAGAATAGAACATAACTCGCCTCTAAGTTGTGATTGCTGTGTGGGGGGCGTGCCGTCAGATACAACTTCCGACGACATCCGACAGATGTTTCCACTGGATATACGAGCATGTAGAAGGGAGACAGACGGCACAAGGGGCACAAGCGGCAGTTGCGCCCGCTTGCAAAACAATTGTTGGCAAATTTCTGGTCGCGGATGTCTCCGCCAGCAACAGCATTCGAATTATGTTTGAATGTACTCGAGAAGCAATGCAAAGCAAACCAAAGCAAACCCCCGTGTACGTGTACACAACGATAATAATGTACGGGCGTTGACATTTCATTTGGCAAAAGGTGTTTTGGTCTGCATGATTTTGGGTTCCTGTTTGGCACATGACATTGTCATTGCCACATGGCAGACACAGATCTGCGCTCCGGCCGTTGAGGCTGTGGCAAGGTGACAAGGTGTGACGCTGAAATTGATTGCATGCCTGATATTTGATCATATTTAATGCAAAGAAGATATACATACATATATGTGGGTAGATACAAAGTGAAGTAAAGTAAGCGAAACAGTGAATCAATGAAAGCGATTCAATAAACACAATGAGTTAATCAATCGGGGAAATATGCAACTCAAAGTGAATAGCTGAGAAGGATCAATGGAAGCATCACACATCAGACATTAGACGGAGTAAATATGCTCAACTAATACTCCCTTCTTTATCTTTATCCATATCCAACTAATGTGCATCCAAATATCGTTGAGAGCTTGCTTTTGTCTGGTACATCTTCAATTTTAATGTAGGGTTATTTTTAAGTATTCCTTTTGAGTTTCCTATCCCACTGTTGCACTCCGTGGCAAACAGCATCCTTGCTTTACGCATGTCCCCAATAAACGGTGGTGATACTCGTTCCATCTCTTCCTTAAGCTTTCTACCAACATTACGGAGACGCGCTAACCATAATACTGGTCTTTCCGAATGTTTTGCCAGCGTACCCATACCAGCTATAATGTCTCTCGCATTCGGCAACTAGTTGAGAGTAATTGCAAAGCATTATGTTATGTTGGTGTTGGCACTGGCATTGCTATTGACCTCGTCCAAGTGAAGGCATCTGGTTGTGTCAAAAAACTCAATTCCAGAGGTCTGCAAAAATGTAAGGCACTCAACACTGCCCCACTGCGGCACCGCAGTCAATAATACTATTTATAGCTGTTACCTAAAAACGCGATCTGTTGGAAAAAAATGGAGATCAAATTCAAAATTAGCGACCTCAAATTAGTAAAAATCTTTAATCAGTACACAAAAAGTTCAATTTTGTTCGCTTGTGTAAATCAATCAAACTATCCCGTCTGGCATTTGAATATTGATATACTCGATATACATACATACATACATACATATATGTATATATTAAAATTCTATTCAAAATATTTAGATATGATATTCGATCAGTTTTCGTGTATAGTTATGGGTAGATAGGATAGATGGGTACTGTACCCATATCATATCAATCAAGTTTCCCTCTACTGGTACTCCTTGTTTTCCCAGCCAAAAAATAACCATATACACTGATTATAATTTTCATAAGAGATTTGCATACATCATACTTTACAGTCCTTTACTTTACTGTGTATGATCTAGCATATCGCATAACCTTCCATAAACATATGCAAATTCCGCCATCAAATCCGAGTCTATCAGGGGAATATAATTTACAAAATATGCCAAACATTTGACCAAACAAAAGGTGGCAATTACAACACAAGAAACACACAACACACACAACACACAGAGAACTGAAAGTTCCATTCAATCTGGGGCTGGAGATGGAGAGATCTGGGCAGGGAGAGAGCGAGAGGGAGAGGGAGAGGGATTGTTAAATTGTGAATCAAAAGCAAACCAAAGTTCTCTCTCACTCCTTACTCCTCACTCGTACACAGAGTCCTCTCCTCCTGCTGCTCCCTTCTCCTTGTTGAACATTTTTCAGCCGCCATTTCTGCCCGACCTCTGCCTCTGCCTCGGCCTCGGCCTCGGCCTCTGATCGACAGCTGTCATGAATGACAATTGGATTGCCAGCAGCGCAGAGAGGGGGATGGGGTCCGGAGTCTGTTCCTCCATCGGATTCAGATTCACATTCAGATTCTTATAAAATATGCAATAAAAATATGAAACCCCCCGTAATGATTGCCAGTATTTATAGATTTCCAGAATGCTACGGCAACGGCTACGGCTGCTGCATGCCTCTGCGGCGGCGAGGTCATCAAAATGAAAACAACCAAATCGACATGGAAATTGAAACAATGGCGAGGCGAGTCGCAATTGATGCCCCCGTGGGACGGGTGTACTGCCACAAGGGGTATGGGTATGGGTATGGGTATGGTATGGTATGGGGAACTGAGCTCAAGTGGAGTGCTTCGTAGCCAAGGAGTGTGGAGTATCGATGGAGTATGTGTGTGGTGGAAAGGCACTTGAGTAAAACGCAGAAATGCGGTTGCTTTTTTGTGGGTCGAACAAGAAAAGGAGAAGGAGGAGTAGGAGTAGGACTAGAAGGAGAAAGGAGCAAGCGAAGCATCAGTGAATGTGGCAGAAGTGTGCATCAATGGGGGAGGGGAGAGTTGAGATATAGTTGCTACACAGATTACTCAAACATTTAAGGAAGAAATTGTGTCAGTGTTTAATTTGCAAAGAGAATGCACTTTAATCCGTTTAGCTTCGGAATATGTGGGTGCTGTGAGCTGGTGCCGTGTCAATCTTTCCACATTTCTCTTAGGTGATTCATCGAGCCTGTATAGCCGCAGCTAAGCTCTTTGAAAATCTGCCATCGATGGCTGGGCTGCTGGGCTGCTGGCTGTCGTTTGTGAACCACATTTTGCATGTTTTCATACACACGAAACCACATGTAGAGAGTGGAGTGGGGAGTGAGGAGTGAGGAGTGAGGAGTGGGGAGTGAGGAGTGAGGAATGGGCTCTGGGGATGGGGCGAGGAGTGCAAAACCTTTAAATGCAATTATGGTTCATGTGCACGACGCCAATGATATGCTTTCGAGTGTCTTTTGTTGTGGCTTAAATACATAACCAGGGGTAGCTGCCCTGCCCTTCCCTGCCCTGCCTTCCATTCTGTCCATTCAGCGCGCCAAAAAAAAAAAAAAGCTGTGACGAAGCTTTCCATTCGTCGAATCGGGTGGTGCAGATGGGTGAACTCTGAACCAGAGTGCATGTATGTGTGTGTGTGTGCCCTTGTGGCATATGCATCGCTCCACAATCGCATCATTTTGAGCAATT